TTTTATTTCAATAAATTTACCAGTATCTTAAGAAAGTCAAAGAACGACGTCTTACGAAATAGCGGTGCGTTCGTATCAGTCACGTTCGAAAACTTGTCACGGCTTTTATAATAGGGTGTTATACTCTGATTGCAAAAGTACTTACTTGGTACTTGTAAGTGTTTATAATCGATAACAAAAATATTCCAAAAAATTAAAAACGTTTTCTTTTCTTAAAATTAAATCATAATTCCACTTTTTTACACCCATAAAAACACCGTCTGCCATATTCATGACGATATTCTGTTTTGTACAGATTGAAATATCAATAATAATAATTAAATAACAGTAATGTACAAACAGATTAAATTTTTTTAACAATCAACCAATTTAACAAATGTAATGTAGGGAACTATGTGTTTATTAATGTTTCAATTTTATGTTCATATAAATTTGCATAACTGTTTGATCCTATATAAAAAAAAAACTAAATATGATGTTATTCAAACGAAAACGGTGTTATCTAACGATCTCGACAAAATAATAATATTAAATAAGGTAAGAACAGTATTATCTCGGAATCTGCTTTTTCTGTCAAATCGGCTGCTGTTTATTTATTTTTTTACAACTACTGACAGATGTCAGATTCAGAAAATATTCAAACGAAGTGTCGTCACGTAATGGTGAGTTATGTTTTTAAGTCACATGATGAATAAGCAAAAAGACTGGACCTTCAATTTTAATATGTTAAGATAATTATGCGATTTTATTGCCCAAAATCAGCCTAGATATTATTTTTTTTTTATTTTTTATATTTGTATTTTTGTTTTTTTTTTCTTCTCTTATATATTATCATTGTGTTCATGTAGGTGTGGTCAATACATTTTCTTTCTTTCTTTATTTCAAAGCAAATTTCAATGATTCTGCAAATTCGTGCTTTACGTTTCACTATCGAAACTACCCAATCCACTATCAAAATTACCAAGTAAGTTTAAAATTGTATTATTTTGGTTGCAATACAACTATAGTCTATTGAGTATCGTTTAAAATTGTGTACTAGTCCGGAACACTGTACATTTACCTTACAGAAAATCTTCGTTTTTCATTATCAATAATTGTATGGCTACGCCTGTTGCGTACTGCAATAGTTTGCAAACCAATAAAGGATATCTAGAGGTATTTTTGTATCAAATTACCGCGAAATTTATCCAGTCGTTTTTCCATGAAAATGTCAAAAATAATATCTATACAATTATTAAATATAATAATTTATATTTTAGTATAAACACATAAATAATTTTTAATATTATATTTCTCATAATAAAAATATTGGGTAAAAAAAAATAACATGAAACTTGGTTTTGATCTGCGGCACAATGAGTACCTAGTGACCAGCACATAGGACATTGCGCCACACCAAACTTTAGTAAAATTTTTGAAAAACCTGTACATTATTATTTAGTACATTGTTTCCATAATTTTCAAATTCATTCAATAGTAACTAATTCCCTTTTTTATAAAGTAATACCTATTTATTGAACTATTTTCTTTACACAATATGATTGATTAGGAATTATTTTTTACTAGAGTAACGGTCAACGGGATGGTTTTTGCATGAAAATGTCAAACTTTTGCAAACACATACTTTTATGGAAATATTTACCTATTGTCAAATTTTATGTTATATATTTTTACAGCAATTAAATTTATCAACTAGACTAGATAATTAAATAATACTTAATTACTGTATAAAATAATATTCAAAATTATTTTAACGAATTATTAATGATTAACATATACCTATAAAAAAATGAGAGAGGAAAATATATCGGGGAAAAGAAGATAAAAGTAAAACAAAAATGCTTCTTTGATGGGATTGGAACACGAACATGTATTTTATTGGAACTATTTCATCAATATCGGGGCTTTTGTATGAAAATGTCAGTCTGACTTTTGCCTACGTCATACTAACGAAATATTTATTTTCAAATTTTATACTGTTTAATAATAATAAAAAAGTTGTTTTTTAAAATTATGGCAGAAAAAAAATGAAAATTAGAATAAAATAATAAAAAAACGACTTGAAAAAATGCGAGCTCTAGTGGGATTAGAACTTACAACTTCGAGACACTCGGGTCCCTCCCCTAGTACATTACACCAAAGATATTGTTAAAACGAGAGCGAAATTAAATTACTTATTTTAAATGTTCTTTTTTTTTACAATTTTAGCGATCTCGGTACGTCAAAACGCTGCACAAAGCAACATAGGTCCATCTAGCAAAACGCCTCAGCGTGAACTAAGTTAGTGTGCGTTATTCTATAGCCTTCCCTGTCAATTGCAGTAGGAGTGACAGAAATGTCAATACTTTAAAGTTGCTTGAAAAAAATGACCATATGTGCCATATCACAAAATAAATTATATTAATTATTATAATAACATTATCAAAAATTGGGAATAACCAACTTTTATATCAACCTTTGATACATATTTGTACTTAATATCATTACTCTAATGTATCACATAATTGAGAAACGTGCCTTTCGCAATATTTTTAGATGCTACTTTGGAATTATTTTCTATCGAGTGAAGTTAATACAATCATGTTTCGGTTTCAACCACAAGATCAGAAATACGATCAAGTATAATCACAAATTTTTGGATTACCATAAGTTTCCCGTGAATTAGTACAATCCTAGATCAATTTTATCGATTTGGCACTATTCAGAATTAAAGATAAATAAACAAAAAATATTAGTCGAATGAAATAGTATCTGTATAGTATAGCTACCATAAATATAAAGGATAAAATTTCAAACCAGCATTCAGTTAGTTTCTTTTTAATAAAAGACAGTTACTTATATCGCTTGGAAGCTATAATGCCGTCTATTTTAACAAACTCTATGCTTTTCTATATATTAATATATTTTCCTATCGTTCAACATTTATTTTTATATTTTTTATTACTAATTTTTTATATTAACCCCACAGATTAACCCTAATATTAATCATAAATGGCTTTTAAGATCGGGACGACGACTGGCTAAATTCCGCAGTCAGATAATAGAAAAAAATAATAGATAACATTTTTTTTTTACTTTAATTTAACCAATAAATTGGACATAGATAATAGGCATTAAAGTTGAGAAGTGGGAGCTTGCTTCGTCACAAATATGTAGAGAATGAACGAAAGGGGTGACGTGATATCAATGTATGACCTTAAGTTATTGATAACATAAATAAAATTAAAAAATCGTATTCAATATTTTTAATTAATCTATCTGACGGAGAAATAAAAATTTTCATCACCTTATAAAAATAAAAATTCTTATGGGAAAATTTTGAAAAAAGCAGACACAGAAGAACAGGTTTACTCAAATATAATTATCAAAAGTATGTCACAAAACAAAAACATTAAAAGGTATAAAAAAACATATAAAAGTTATAGGCACTTATAAGTTATGATAACTAAATAATAGGTCGGGGAAAAGTTTCTTCGTATTTTATATGAATTTTCAACTTTATTTACATTTAACTAAAGTATGTAGGTACCATTATATTCGATAACCTTCTGCTATCTTGTAGGTAAAGACATGATCCCATTGCTATAGAAATTTTGGGGCTTCTTTGACATCTAAATTTCTGGACTGAAAACGGTTAAACCAAATTTTTGCTACTCTCACAAAAATTGCACTAGGACCTAGTGAACCTAATAAACGACACAATTTTTTTTCGCGTCTTGCGTTGCATTTTGCCCTTTTTTTGTAATTCCTTAATTATATTCACTCATTTTTACAGTAAGAAAAACAAATTAAAATCACACATTTTCCTAATTCAAATCACACATATCGGAGTTATCTTCTTTAAAATTAACTTTTTAATTATACCGAAATCCAGTCAGCTGCAAAGTGTATAGTCAAAAAGGTTTTATTACAAGTTTATGCATTTGCGAAAAAACTTTATCCCCAACCTAAAATTATTGTTTACATTATTATATGTTAAAAGAACACTTATCATTACCAATAGTTAAACTTTAACCATAAAATATAATATTTCATTCTATAAAAATATGTCATTTAAGATAAGAAATTGAACTTAAGGTTTGAGGCAGAGTATAATACTCTATTTAGAGGTAACGAGGTTCATATCCGAAACTATACACATAGAGTCTATTTTGTTAAAAAAAAATATTTTTATATTATATTCGGCCTTAACGTACAATTGCAAAACACTCTCTATTTAATAGTAGTACAATGGCGAAGCGGATAAGCGCCGCGGCCCGCCAACATTGTGAATATGCAACTGTCGGAGGGTCGGTCACGAGATGGGTGACAAAAAAATTATTATCTCGAGCTACTCTGTGCTTTGGAAAGCACGTTTAGCCGTTTGTCTTGGCTGCATTTGTAGTCTTTAATATACTCTAATCCGCAATGGGCTAGTGTGGAGGGTCATAGCCCATCCTCCTGAACCGTCTATAAGGAAGGCCTGAATCCCTGCAGTAGGGACGTAAAAGGTCTGATGATATTGATGATTTTATTTAATTTATTTCGTCCATAGCACTGAAGGGAATGACAAAGAGCATTAGAAAAAACCCTTTACTAGTGGGATGTCGGATACATGTCTATATCGGAGTACCATTTGCCTAACATTAAAAAGATATATAATAATATATATAAAAGCTGTGTATAATTGGAGACCCAACAGGAATGACGAGCTTTTCAAGCACTTGTTACTTTACGCTACTACAGAGCGTATGTTTAGCAATGTTCAAGCATTCCATCCGAACAGCCGAAAGAAATGTTTTTCCAAATAATTAAAACTTTCGATTAGCATTGTGAATACAAAATTGTATAGTAGATTTTTTTTAATCAATAATAATAAAATGTCGTCCATATATATTACAAATTCATTTACAACACCTACGCATAGATAGATACCTATAAGAAAATCAGTCTTTATCCTATTACGGCGTCGGAACTACTTGAGTAGATGAATCTTTAGTAAAACATTTTAATTTATTAGCTTATTCTGGTACAGTTCTAGAGTGGGTCATTCCGTTGTATTCCACATTCAGATCACCATTGACGAATTGGTGCAGTTGGTTTTCGTAAGCGTTTGGGCCGTCCACCTCGAATTTCTTCAATAAACTCCATACAAGTAACACTATGTATGATTGTACACCTAAAATTTTAATATAATACTGTGTATTAGAAATTTCGGCTTGTGTTACATTAAAACAGAAAATGTCGTTAGAATATAAACTATAGTAGGATAAAGATGAAAGTAAGAAAGTATACCCAAAAAGCAGGGCTTGGAAACCGGTTTATTTTTTGAACCGGTTCGACGTAAGTACATGCGGAACTTTACATAAAAGAAACAGCTCCTTTGAACAGGGTTTTTAAACTGGTTCACTAGAAATACGGTTTTCTTCATTAACCGGTTTAAATATGACTCCAGACAATGATCTTGAAACTTCAGCACGGTTTTTAAGTGACTATACTCCTATCTATTAGATCCATACACAGGTATGATAAATCTCGTCGCTTAAAAATGATATAATTCGCATTAAAAGCGTAAGAACATTGCTTTTTACGAACCTAGCGATTTAACCGGTTTTTATTCCATCCGAATTTCACTCCGCATTTAGTTCCGATCCGGAACGGTACATTATAATAGAACAGGTTTTACCTAAATAAAAACGGTTTATTCTGAACCGGTTTCAAGCCCTGCCAAAAAGTGTTAACTTTAGCTCAGATTTTTATATAATAATAGAACTGTATGATCTTAATAGGATCTCAATAATGTTGTACCTATGTAATGTCCAATATTTATTAAAATATTGATTTTTTATAATCTCTCGTCATTACGAAACCGTACTTTGCGGTGTTTTTTGTTCTTGACGAATTATGTAATGATTAAATATTTGAAATGACAGATACTTACATACACTACAGAAGAAAACTAGAATCAGCAAACAGTAGAAAGAGAATGACCATATCGTAGAGGTAGATATTGCTATATCCACTATTTGCATCAACGCTGAAGACACGAGTGAGCAAATACAAAAGTAGAAGTATATTTTCACAGGCCATATTAATTTCTGTAAAAAAAAAATGATAAATATTGTTTATAGTTTTGCCAACTCCATTTTAAAAATAACAAACCGATACTTTAGGTTAAGTAAATAATAATGAGCAAATAACTTTGTGTTTGTGTGTGGAATCTTCGGAAATGCTGATACGATGCTAAAAAATATGTCGCGGAAAAACAGCCAGTTTGTTTATTAAGACTACTATTTAGTTTTTTTTATTATATTGTCATCATTCAATACATTTTTTATTTAATTTATATTCTACATATAATTTATTGTATCAACTTTATTGGCATCGTTTTCTAAAGTAATTAAGTAATGTATTTCCTTGGAAGAGCACTGATGTCTGAAATACTAATGCTTATATCTTTACTTAAATCCAGATCAGAAGGCTTACTCTGTCTTTCCGAAAATTTAATTTTCTTTATTCGAAAATTGGAAACGCTTATATGACCCCATAGAAACCGTTTCTTTGATAATTTATGTATAATGGAGGTAGATCTGTCACACTGCCTCTGAATCACGGATAATTACCATGGATATAAATTTTCTGAATTTTCAATCGTGGGCAAACAGGTCGGCAGATCCCTTGTGGGCAGGTAGATAGAATGCCACAAAGCACGGTCTACACTCGCGTTTTTCCCTAACTTGACATTTAAAGCTCATTTTAAACTTGCACGCTGATTTTCAATCTCGTCTGATTATACTCTTTGTTAGCTGTGATCGTATTTTAACATGTGTCTTCTGCAATGTTGTCACATGGTTCTCACCTTATGTGCTCCGCAGATGAATAATATAGTAAAAATAAATTCCAGACAATATATGAAGATGCACACCTCAGCAGGGATACTGTAATTGATGCCTTGGTATACCAGTTCCTGACCGAAATTCATGTATACAGCAATGCTATATATAAACACCATAATCACACTGAAGATCTGCAATGAGAAAATATGTAAAACAATAATTTTATCCTCATCATTGTCCTTACTTCTTGGGCACGAGCCAGCTACCGTACGTGCAAAGTGGTGAGTGCTAATGAATGCAGATGTAGCTGGGAAAAGACACTATTAACAGCGTGATGTAGTTAGTTTTCGAAGCACGGAAGACCTTGAGATGATAAATTTATCATTAAGTGTACGTAGTGAATAGAAAACTTGATTTTAAGTGGACACGTGTCTTGAGTTACACTTACTACGTTTAATGTCGGTTCATTTATTTTTTTTACTAGCTGATTCATTCTTAAAGTCGATACTAATAAAACACAACACATCTCCCATCTAATCATGATCTTCCTCTCGATATATTTATTATCTATGGATGGCATGATGTCTCGAATATAGATAAATTCTATGACACACACAGCCAGGATACTTCTTTCTACCAATAGGTAGACATAGGTAAAAAAGAAGTATACTTTCTTATTCAAAAATTTTATATTCTTATTTAAAAATGAAAAAAATTAACAATATACTGGGAATAATATTCACGGTCTTTGCAGGTCGAATATCACTCAGAGAAAAATCAATGGCAATATTTAAATATTGTAAATGGTGAATAGATAAATTTTATTTCCTACTTTTCTTCCTTCTCATTTCTGATGAAATCTAACATTTAATATTTCCTTGGTGATAACTGTTTTGTTAATATATGAGCACACTAGCTAAAAACCCGCAGCTTCGCCCACTTGGTCCGAGGGTACTGTGTGCACACTGGCATGCTATACTGGAGTCTTAAACTAATTTTAACTAAAAACCTGCCAGTAAGCATCCACCTTTATATCATCATCATTAGCTTATCAACGTCCCCACTGCTGGGTTACCTGCCGAATAGATGGAAACAATTATGGAAAATCTACTAGTTGGGATTATTTTTCTGAAGTCAACTTATGGAAAACAACAGTTTTCTTCGAAACTATTATTAACAAGTATGTAATTATCCTTGTTAACTGTACGAAGTCTTAACCCGTCTCTGAATATTCGTTTAAACCCGATGGGAGACAATATTATGCCATGGTCTAATATAACCAATCGGTCACCCTTGACCCTTGACCGATCAGTGCAAAATAAGCATAACCTCCGCATTGCACTTGCTATTGCACCATTGAACTCCTTAAAACACAAATGTTTAAATTGCTGTATTCATTTAAAAATTCTAGGCCGAGTAATTTCTTCTATTTTCACCTGTGCCCACCAGTGGGGAGAGAAAATAGGCTGACGATGAATATATAAACTACGAACTCGACCCAGTTTCAACGGGTTAAAAAAAATCTCAAGAAATTTCTTATCCATCTGCAAAATTCACATAAAGATTGCTTTTGCGTGGTTTAGAAGGTTACTGTGAGCGACTCTGATTTAATTTGATTAGTCTCAGTAGTACCAATTTACTTTAGGAATTTCAAACCTTATAATATACTATATGAAAAAGTATATGTAAAGCAAATAATCACCATTTGACATTTGGTTAGATGACGTCAATGATGATGCCAAGAAAGAGGATAGTGCTATGCATCCACGGTCAATGTTATAGTTAGATTGACAGTTATAATCAAGGCTTTCGACTGTTTGGGTAGATTGCCTGAATATTGGTGAAAATATGCTCTGTAGTAGCGAAAAAGTAACAAGTGCTTGAAAAAGTCGTCAGTCCTGTTAGGTCCTGGGCAGCTCAGTGGTTAGAGCAGTCGCCCGGAATGCGAAAGGTCGTGGGTTCGAGTCCCATTTCAGAGTACCAGGGACAAAGTGGATTTTTAAGCATTTTTCATTAAGAATATTTTTCCAGTATAGCATTGGGAATGCAAAATTATCAGATAAATTAACTTGTTTTATTTGTATGTTAGTGCGCAAATCTTGGAGCTCAAATTTGAGCTATTTCCCAATGTCCAATAGACTCGAAATTTTGTACAAACATGTAAGTCAGATGACGATGCAATATTATGGTTTCAATAAGCCGATATAGTGATGAACTCTGAAGGTTAGGAACTTAATGATGAAATGACGCAACTGCATCGTGTTTGGGTTCGTTAGATCCGCCTTTATGAGGACTTTAGTACTGGATGCTTTGCAGACCAAGGTCTGGTGATGATGGAGCTGGTATGTGGTCATAGGAATTTAGCTATGAAATAACGCAGCTGCATCATTTTTGGGCTTTTTGGATACGTCTTTATGAGAACCACAACATATTGAAAAGAAATAAAAGGTAAAACAAAAAAATATATATTTTAAAGTATTTTAAAAACAAGCTTTTTTGTTTATTCGCACATTATAAACACTTAAAGTACTTATAAATCAAAAAAAAATCTCTTACGGTAATTGATTTGAAAAGCTTGTAGGGCGTAAAAAATGTATTAATTTCCTCGTCTCCGATTTCATTAGCGCTACAAGTCAATTACTGTTAGAGAAAATTTTGATTATATGAAAGCTTGTTTTTAAAACAACTCTTTTATTATTATCCTTACTACGTTGTGAAGTAGGTATGGCAAAATAAAAGATTTGTCTTGCACTACATCGAAACAAACATCCTTACCTATTTTCGTTTCTCAAAGAACAAGCTCTTAACCTAGTTATATTGAAATCAAAGCGACGATTGCAATTTCGTGAAATATTAACTCTTGATCCATTCAAGAAATGCCGTTATTGCACCACTGATAAACGCTGCTAAATTTGGCAGCAGCAAAACAATCACGTACACTTACAATCTTTATATACGCTATAAATAGAACTCCTCTTCGCAGAGGTAAGCAGAAACAGCATCTTTGAAACTGTGGACAGTCACAACGCATTTCACCTTATTTTCGTAATCAACACGTGGAATTAGAATAATGTTTACACAATATGCAATTTAAAAATACAGGTTCAAGAGTGACGCGTGTTTTTATGGCCAAAGTTGATGGGTAACTGACCGTCTGGTGCAGGCATCGACAACAAAACTATATGCAACTCTATAAACACGTACAACCTTAAATACTTATAGTCTAATTTGTATTTTAGGACATCATCGGCCAAATTGTAGCTTACATCGGAATCGAAACGGAAAATTTTGTGTATTAATCATACATATTACGACTTTGCCACTATTGACTGAGACAATGTGATGTACCGCCATCCATATTGATAAAAAAATAAGTTGCCGCCAGAATGCTCGAAGACTTTTCTCCACTAAATATTGGTATATCTGTAAGTTTATATGAAATAAATCTAACTAACTCATAACTAAATCTACTTCCTGAAGTGCTAATTTAAAAATGATATAGACTCCATATTTTTCTTCAAGACGTACTTTTGAGATAGCTCTTAAGCAAGAGTGAGATCAGTGAAATGTAGGAGAAGCTATGGATTTTTTCTTCAAGACCTTCAAATCAAATCAAATGAAACAATTTATTGGCCATATAACTCAGAAGGTTACACTCGGCAAGTCTTTAACAATAAGCATATTAAATTAAAAATAAAGGTTTAAACTTTTACGAGTATATGGATGAATTACATCGTAATAGAATCGGAATAGAAAATAGTATGTCAATTTTTATGAGAAGAGTTCTATAATATTTTTGAAATTTATTGCATTACAAGAATTTGAAAAATTTTAGCTGGCTCACGTAATTTGTAAAGTTTGTACAAATTCATTATTCTCTAGAATAAGGATCACACTTTTTGCGTGACCGTGAAATAGATCTAATGTTATCTATTTCATATTTTTATACGAATCTGTGTCATAGAATTTGACTATAGATTGAAATAGATTGACTTAAGTGATATATATTATACGAATCTATATCACTTAAGTCAATCACGCTTTACCTTTGTTTTTAACGTTAGGAAATGCATTACAAGCTTCTCCCAGCACGGGGTCGGCAGGTAATGTAGGGCTTTAGAGCTCCCCCCTGCGTGGGGCTTTGTGTCGGTATGCTCCTTGCTGGATCCCGGGTCCTGCCACTCACAGCGGGTTTTACCAAGCAGGCCTCGCTTAAGCCTGTCCTTTTCAGTTGCGGTGCGGGGTCGGAAAGCCCTGGTTTAAGGCTTAATATTGCATGTCCCCTGCGTTAACAAAAGGATCTCCCTTGCGGACTCGCCCCTGCCATAAGGAGAGCTAGTCGTAGTGGTTGGATATTCCTGATTAAGGCATAAGAAATTCAAAATTTAACATCCATCTTATCCTAAGATTTGTTATCAAAAGCGCAAACGCTTAAGAGGTAAGAGCTTAGACAGCCTTATTCTGTTTTCTTATTTACCACAATGTAATAAATTACAAAAAACAAACTTTTCTTGATCATTAGCCTAATATTTAAAACCTGACAAAACGTCATTCCGATAAAGTCTATACTCAATGTCAATCAAATATCGGCACTCAGAGGCATATATTATCATTGTGTATATTTTTAGAATAATCGTATTTATTTAACATACAATAATAGTATCATTAAAGAATAGTATAGCATTTTGACGACTATGATACTTATAATGAAAAATATTTGTTTTGTAAAATACCAATGTTAAAATCTAATTCCAGTAATAATCGCCTACGCAGAATAAAGTGATAAAAACTTCTCAATATTCTATATGTATTATCTGTTATGATAACATATTGTTTTCACAGATTTCACATAAACAGATAGAGTTACAAATAAATAACAGATGTGTGTCAAATTGGAAGTTATTTTGCCAACTATTGAAAAGTTTTTATTTTTATATTCTATAAGAGGTGGATGTGTGTTAATACTTATTTGGACTATCGTGAGTACATTATAAAGCTATTTTCCCGAAGATCCACAAAAATTATAGCCTATGTCAGCCCTAATACCTACCTTATTTATCTTCCCGTAGGTGAAATGATTTTTAAAATAGGCTTAGCGGTCCAAAAAAACAAACAATCAAATATTGCCTCCACAGTAGTTATCCAATAGTAGTTTGCAGTTACCGTATTTTTCCTTCAATATATTCAACAATTATGATCATAAATAAGAATAACAACTAAGTAATATATAAGTACGCTTTAAAGAATCCAAATGGAATAGAAATATTTTCTTTAGTAATAAATTTATTTTCCTATCATGAACTGCTTCTTTCCATTCCAATCTTTATTTAGAAACACCACACTTTTATAAATCCAAAGAATTGTCACCAAATACAGGAGAAATTGGGCAAAGAAGTCTTTTTTTTCTCTATTATTTTTTTTTATCTCTCTATGAGAACTTTTCTCGTCTTCGACAGGTATTAAAGCAAAGAACCATAACAGTTTAGTTGTTTCTAATTTTGCGCTCATCTTCAATATTGTTCCACAGTTTCGGGCCTTATTTTGCTTGCTCTTCTTCATAATGGCCATACTAGAGATACTTGTGAAGCAGCAATTGCCATTCGGAGCACTGATGCCGAAGCTACCGGCGTCCAGCCCGAGCAGCACGATATTATTGCTGTACGCTTTGTTTCTCATAATGGTGTTAACTGAGGCACTCCTGCTTGCATCCACATTCTTTCTAGGACAAGCTATAATTCAGGTAAGATAACTGACATTATCATAGTCTCATCATCAGCCTGTTTGTACTAGAGACCTGGTGACTACCACCCGTTTTTTGCACCACCCTAACTGTCTGGGGTACTTGAATTAAGTACCTGGTAATCCCTCTGGTTACGAAGGAGGTTACCACCTACCAAAAGGTACCACGCAGTCCGGAGTTCTCGGGAATTCCCTGCCTCTTACCGGGGACAGACTACGTGAGAGGATGCAACGGAGAGCTTTGATGGTTAGAAGAGCGTCGGAGTAGTCGGCTTAGCCTCACGGCCGATGAAGTGTTGGGGTTTTACGAAATTGCCACTTTTTAGACAAATTTTATTCTTAGGTTTATATTGCCAATTAAAAATCATTTTATGAAAATTAAACATATTGCTGATCAGTGGCGAACTAAAGGGGGGCAGGGGGGTTTCGCCCCGGGCCGGTCCTGGGATGCCTCCAAACGTGCTGCAGCCATCCGCCAAAATCATAATAACATAATAAAGTTAAAAATGTATGCGCGGAGTTTCTGTCGATCCAGGCCTATTACCGCTCCGGGCCTTCGATTTTAATAAATGGCTCAATTGAAAAAAAACGCAAAGATGACTCTAAATTAGTGTTTTGGATCGATTGTACGACTAACTATCTAAAAATATATACAAAAATGAGTTTTTATATAATCTAAAATTATCAAAGGATTTTTTTATAGGTTTCTTTGATTAAAAATTTATGAAACCAAATGAGCGCGCTTTTACTCACGATGCATAATTGTAGAAGGAGAGCTCCTGACAAAAATGTCCAAAAACCTTTCTAAAGCTTGATATTTCATTGTGTTGAAGTACTAAGGATATACATCACTCAGTACCCAGTGCGGAGGCCAGATGCTGTGCACCTGGTGCAGTATACCGTTCCTATGATGTATATCGTCTATCTGTTCGTCTATCCGTTTATACGTTTGTCTTTCACCACGATATATTTCATTAACCATGATAACTAGACAGTTGAAATTTTCACAGACGATATATTTCTTTATAGCATAAAATACCTAGAAAAAACATAATAAAATATATATTTATGGGGTGCTCCCATAAAGCGATTTATATCCATTAGGACAAATTTATTAGTTGAAGCTCCGTATTTGCGGAGGATACGTTCCTTTAATATGCCGCGAATACAGAAAACGCGAATACAGGATGACATGTACTATAGAATAATAGGGGATACATTCAAAAGTTCCTAAATAAAAGCAATATGTACGTCAAAATAAATACAATTGAGGTAAGATTATTGAAGAAGTGCCAATTAAAATCAATCTTTATTGTCAGTTTCAAATAAGGGTTTGAAATCATTTAATTCTTTATCTTTTTTTCCAGTTTTTAAAGATCTTTAATTTCAGATTCATAACTAAGTAACTGTAGCGGTCATAATATAGCTTTTTTTAAAGTATTTTAGGAATGCTACAACGAAGCAAAAATTATAAGGCCTTGTAAAAGCCACCCTGACGCATGCTCGAAGTATTTAAAAGATGGCGATGCGTCAATAAACGACGCTGAATTCCTTTAGGTCACCGATTGCATCCGCGAATACGCAGATTTTAGCCGCGAGATTCGGTTACAAATTTTTCACCCACGAATAATGAAGCCGTGAATAAGGAGCTTCTACTGTACTTATATTTACTATTTTATTATATATTATTTTTATATTTAACCATGTGAATAGAATTCTGTTTCATCACCACCATCACCAGCCCTTTTTTACGTCCCCACTGCAGGGGCTCAGGCCTTCCTTATGGATGGTTAAGGAGGATGGGCCATGACCCTCCACGCTGGCCCAATGCGTATTGGAGGGTATTAACGACTGCAAATGCAGCCGGGACCAACGGCTTAACGTGCCTTCCGAAGCACGGAGTAGCTCGAGATAATAATTTTTTGGTCACCCATCCCGTGACCGACCCCTGCGAAAGTTGCTTAACGACTACGATCGCGGGCCGCGGCGCTTATCCACTACGCCACCGAGCTACTCATGTTCTGTTTACCAGCTTGTAAACCACCTGCGAGGACCCGTAAATGGCTTTCGATAGCTTATTTAATTATTATGTATCTGTATTAGCTGTTGGTCTTTCTAAAATAAATAAATAATAATAATAGTAACTAGTAGGGACGCCTTCGTGCGCGAAAGCGACTAGCACTTTACCGTCTTTGGTGTACACGCCCTGTTAATTCTGAAGAATAGATGCCCCAGCAGTGGGGGTTTTATAGCCGATGCTGATAACATATTTGTTTGTTGAAGGAAAACACATCACATTTCGTAACATACCTTATAACACGAACATTGACTTGGCCAACCGAGGTGACAACCCTGATACTTCTATGTGTATTCCACAAATTACTCATCGGCTGGTATCTGGGATTTTTGTTCTTCATCAGTAAGTTATTTAATTTACCTGGTCACTACTAGATTCTTTCATTCATCCAATCAATATTAATTGATATAGTACCTACGCAGTTTAGATTACTTATACCTAATTATGTTTCTTTTTATACCTATGTTAGCTACACATTTAAAAAATACAGTTATAACGTTAAGTTGGGGAGTCGCAATTTTGTAGAAAATATACGATGGTGTGACGTCATACTACATTTCAACTCAATGTGCCACCGTAATTAATTGATTAATATCCTTTAACAATATACCCGACAGACAGATAAATAAAAATTAGTCATTATGTCTATTAATACAACTACAGCGCAGCTGCCTTATTTCGGAATTCATACGCAGCATTTCTGCGTGCTGCCGAGACCGGAATCACAGTCACCTTAAATCTTTCTACATCTTTAATGGCGTATAATAACATCGTTTGACTTCTTGTAGTTCTGGAACTCTACGCCTGGGTCGTGGTGTACAGTTACTATTGCGAATTGGAACTGTCTAAAGAACTCGTATGCGCCGACGCTTGCCCATCAAACACTGCTTGACTCTTGAATGTTTGTTAGTATGTTTGTACGCGTTGCCATATATAAATCTCATCACCGGATTATTAGAGTCACTATTTTTAACAGAAAAACCAATTCTAGATAAAGAAATATACAAAAGGTTTCATGAAAGTCCCTTCATTACAACCGGGTTCTGAGGCATAAACCTATTGGCACTATTTGTTCACGATCGAATTTCAATAATGGTGGTTTACTTTGAGCTGTATGTTCATTGGTCGGCCAGTTTATCTGTTAGTCACTTTTATTTTTGATAAGAGTTAACTCACCTTCGTGCCAGTGCCGATTATCTGATAGTATTCTCGCAAGGTGAACATAACCAACACTTGAAATGTTTATAAAGTCGTATATTCTATAAAATAAGTAAAACTAAATATACAAGTTTGTTTAACAGTGTGTACAGTGGGGAAGCAATGGGTCTCCAGCTACCAAGATTCTCGAGGTGTTGTTTTTGCCTATCTTTAAGAACAGGATCGTTGATTATCGGATATGTTTCAATCGTAAGTAGACGTACATATTTGACAATCGTATTCATGTTATCATTCATTTGTGGTCTTATTTTAGTATACTAAACAATAGTTAATAAACTTTGAAGATTAATAAATAGTTATATTAGAATTGATCTACTTAGGCATTGATACCTATACATTCTATTTAGATATATAGAGGTAAAGAGAAAAAAATACATTTAGAGTGTTATTTACAGTGCCTACATGCTCAGTCATCTCTGCCTACCCCAAAAGGGATACAGCGTGAAAACACATATATGTAGTATTATTTACGGTTTGTGCAATCGAGCGATTACCTATAGCGGCAAAATAAAGTTGCATTGATTTTCTTCCTAGAACGAAATATCTTATTAACTCTTCTTTTTTCCACTATGAATATTTGGATATCCTATATAAAATAACAAGTTATAAGGTAAACGATGACATTTATAATAATAAAAGTGTTTTTGAATTAAATAGAAATGAAATTAAATAATAAACAACATCACATACATTCCTCAGATTTCGAGATGAGTAGTTAAAGCCCCACTATTATGGAGCAGCTGAGATAACGAAGGTACCACAACTCGAGATATAGAAAAGTTCCTCTTTTTACATTGACCCGATCGGGAATCGGACCCTTAGATCGGGACTTGATGGCGACACCTTGAAACCGGCGTACGAACCACTCTGCTACATATGTTATGATTTCATTCTGAATCATTGACACTTCCGCACGTTGTCATGTATCTGATATTATATTGGGTTAATAAAAGTATTGGGATAAGATGATGTGTCTCGATGACAATGCGTGTTTTCCTTAAGAGACACGAACATTCTTGCGTTTTGAAGTATCTTTTTGACAGGCCCTGTCTGTCTTCATTTAGCCCAGTCTTTCAGTAAAGTTTTTGAAAATCGATTAGTATGGGGTTAACATTACTATAAGATTAAAGAAATACTATAAGAGGTATGAAACGGAAAAAGAGAATTATGCGTTAGACATCAACTTAACTTTATTTTTTATTTTTTAACCGCCTTTTCTTTTTTTTTTATAATTATTTCTAGGTATCAGGGTTATGACACCTGTTTAACAACTTGATTTAACACTAGCTTTCCGCCAGCGGCTTCGCCCGTATGATCTTGTATTATACATAAAAAAATCCTTCTGATTCACCCTATCTATGAAAAAAAAACCGCATCTAAATCCGTTGCGTAGTTTTAAAGATTTAAGCAAACATAGGGTTATAGGGACAGAGAAAGCGACTTTGCTTTATACTATGTAACTATTACCTAACTTTTGTCCAGGTCATCTCGATTCTGTTTATGACAGCGATATCGTTCTTATTGTACTACGTGGTGAAGTATGTGGAGGAGAACAAGAATCTACCTAATCCTGAACACTCTCCTGAGGAATTGGCTCAAGCAGCGCTGGGGGTCTACGTGTCCCAGGGTTTCTACCTGCTAGTATTTTTGTTCCTGATGACGATCAGCATAGTTTTGGTAGTGGGTGTGCATACAGTAAGATATTTCGTTCTTTTTCATATTTATATATCTTGGGTATATTAAAAAAAAATGTCAATTTCTACAATTTTTAGTAAATTGATTCATTCAAAAACTTTTATTTTATCCCTTATTCAAACCAAAACAGAACATGTTTTTATACATAAATTAATAATCTGGCATTTTTGGTTAAACTTACCAGATGATGAAATATTAGATTATATTTCTTAGTTATTTAATGTTGACATTTAATGACGCTTAAATTATAAAAGTACATACAACACAAAGTTTCTTGCCTCTAGTGTTCTCTGCAGTTAGTCTGCGCCAGATACGTACGCATGAATCAACACTTATGTGTTTAAATAAAATTAATAGGCTTGCATAATGAGGAAGAATTAAAAAAAAAACGAAAGCACTAAAAAAGCACCTCCACTAGATGGCGACTCTAGCAAAAGTTGATTTTTGCAGGAAACGAATGGACCAAAGACAGCCATTTCCATACCTTTTAACTAACATAATAAAAAACTGAAATTTGAAAAGTTCGAAACTTAAATATCAATACAAATAAGAAAAAGTACAAATAGAATATGACTTTTTTTTGAGCTTTGAAAACTAATTTACTTTTAAACTTGAAAGTACGTACTGTAGCGACTTTTAGTTTGATTTCGGGAACTGGAAATACTTTCTCTTAATATGTCTACACAAAGTGTCAAATACTGATGCCGAGTGATACCGTGTAAACACATGAGTGTGTGTGTAAAACCAGTTCTGAATTGAAATAGAAAAAATAGAATTATGTAGATCCCTAATAGATAATTTCTCTTTGAAATTTTCAGGAAAAGACCAAATTGCTCCGGTTCTACGTGTACAGTGGTTTTTTTCTGTTCGGAATATCTATTGGCTTAGTGGTGATGTCGATGGTGTTCGTGGGCTTCCTGGCAACATTGCCGTTATTAAAATGGTGTTGTAAGTATCAAAGCGAAAAGGAGCTACTGAGTTTACCAGTGTAATCGGCAGAAGTTGAGAAATATCGCTGAATGAGAAATTACGACATAAAGGGGTCTTTCCGGTTTCCCATCCTCATCAATGCAACCATTGACCACTCCAACAAGAGTGCCCGACTAAGAGTACAAAGTAGTATGAAAACAAAATTTCTTATCTAAATTAGTATTATATCAGAAAAATAAGTTACAAAACCAAAAGCCGACTATAGCTCAAGCTTAAAAGCGTCATTTAGTTGTAGTCGGATTTTAGTTTTTAAACTTTATTTAATTAATTTTCGGGTCTATTTCAGTAAAATCTCAAGCTAAATCTATCAATAAACAAAAATATTTAAAATGTGCTAAATAAACCCTTTCATTTGATACCCGACACGGAATGACTCAATAATCTTTTTCTTTAGTTTCTTACTTTATGCTGCCTAGAGGGCGATATTACTAATTTAATGTAACATGAAAACAGAAGATTTGGTTGTTTGTTTGGTTGCGTGTGCATCGGACAAACTTCGAAACTAATGAATCGATTTTAAAAGTTCTTTACTTACGGACTAATGATTCGTTTGCTGTCTCACGAAAACTTAAGAACGTGTGCATCGATTTGGCTTGGTTTGGAATATTTGCAGATGTCCAAGTGAATTTAAAAGGATTTAATTGCAACCCTGTAAAAGTTTCTATACACCGAAATCGCTAACCCTATATCAAATTCCAAGATTGGAGTGTACTTCAATGTGATTTGTTTATTTCACAGTTGTCGATTTCCTGTGCCTGTTGGTGGTCAGAAGCACTTTCCTAGAAATGGAAGAAAGGAATAGGCCTCGTGTTTATGAGATGCACACCTTGTATAGTCCGCAACAAGCACCTTTGATGGCATAAATACAAGACTGAATATTTTAGATTAATTTATTAGTAGTTTATATACTTACTTACCTAACATCTACAGATATTTGCAAAGTATGAAGTTGAGAGTTAACTTATTTTGTAAGTGCGTACAGTCAGACATTGATACTCGAAAAATTCACTGATATTCATAAAATTCATGTTTAAAAAATCGGAATTAAAAAAAAAGTTCCATTTACTGTCGCGATTTATACATTTCAATTACCAACTATTATGCTTACTCGACTGTATAATTTTATTGATAGTTAATTCTATTATGTTACATACATTTTTATTGAAAATAAATTTATTTGTATATACAATCATTCTTTGATTATTTATCTAGCTTATTAATGTCCCTAATGCTGGGGCTCGCGTCTGCTTTTAGATGAAATCGAATAGAGAGAATAGGCCCATCAGCGGGCCATGTGTGAGTTGGTGGATGTTAACGACTGTAGCTGATGCAAGCGTGCTTTCCCAAGCACGGAGGCACAGCACTGTGACGGAGGAGCTCGAGATAATATTTTTTTTGTTACCCTTCTTATCTGACCGGCAGGAGATGAGTCTGCTTAAAAATACTTAACTTAAAAAGTTGGGTTTACTACTCTGAGCTCTAGGTAAACGAATTTATGATTTAAATTTATTGTGAGTAGATTTTTCATTCGATCGAATTTTATTTGATGAATACGTACGAGGGATTGACAATTTGATTTGATACCTATGTCAGAATTACATAACTAGGTAGTCATATCGTTCACTTTGAAAATAGTTTTTGAGATGCATATGATTAGTACCTTTACAGATGGATCATTCTTTTTCTTCTTAAATTTAATGGCATTTTGCGTCACCACATTACTGCCAACTATGGGTCATTATAATAGACATTATATCATTTGGCATCTCTCAGTCTCAACTTCAAAGTAATCTTGTAATGTAGTAAACATATTATAATTATTTTTTCAAAGTTACGGCAAAATAAATCTGTAAATTTAATTGTTATTAAAATATGTTTATTGGCATAATATAAAACTAAAGCAATTTTACATTTTACTTCCACCGATAAACCTTTCATAATGTAATAAATCTATTTAATTCTAAATAAACTAAACGCCGCTACAATGTTATGTCTGTGGACCCGTTACTTTTTTAAACAGTAGGGACGTATTCAATAAAAAAAAATGGAATTATTGCATACATATAGTCTATTCGCAAGATGATTTGATAATTATTTATGTATTCTTCTAATCACTAAAATATTTTAAATTCGCTTTTGGGTTACATATATTTCATGAATACTTTATTAGAACACTACACAATTATCACCAACGTTTAATAAATAAAAAATATATATAAATGGCTGTTTAAACTAATTTCATTGCCCTGAATTAAACAAAAACAGCAACTATCAAAGTGACGTTTAAGCTATTATCCAACTACATTCAAAATGTATAAAGCTTACTATCTCGTATGCTCTCTCTTTTTAATTTGCAGATATTGCTATCTCATATTAGTAAATGCCTTATCATTTATATGTATTATATATTGTAAGCAACGAGACTTTGACAAGACGCGTGATTTTAATTAAATAATTTTTCTCGATCCTATTAATTTGCGATGTAAATTCCTCCATATTTTAATATTTAGTCATAAGTTATTCAATATGTCTAATAAACATCTTCAAAGTTCTAATATTACAGCTCAAAATCAGGTTGGTTGTTTTTCTAAATGTTGTCTCTGTAAAAATGATATAATTTTATTTAGTAGACGTATTAAAAATAATGTTTCTAAAACGTCTTTTATTTCCCCTCTTTTCAGCTTATACAATGGATAAACGAAGCTGGTATGGCAGAGGGAACCAAAAAGGTGAACTTGCTAAGAAAAGTTATCGAAATCCTACTGCATTCTGCCTCACAAATGTTACCTGTATATATGGAAAACATTCTAAGTTATGTTAGTGATAAATCTAACGATGTTAAGAAACAAGTAATTGGTTTTATTGAAGAAATAAGGTATGTATTTGGACTAAATCCAAAGGTATAATAGTTTTTAAAATCTAACCTGAAACGTATATGGTTAAGATATGGCAGTCATTTTTAGGTACATCAAACAAATAATTGTCTACAGCTCTCATAAATAACTATAACAAACATGTTTGTGGTACATAATACTACTATCGACACCTGTATAAATCCAAGTTAGCACAACCTTAAAAAGATTAAGTGGCAATTGGCTTTACAATTACAATAACTTTATTCTAAAGATATGATACATTTGATCTGACATTACTATTCTTTTTAAATGTTCTCTCAGGAGTGTACAGTCAACAGTACACCAGGTGATACAAATATGTCAATTAGTTTTATATGTAGTTTAAAATTAAAGAAATTTGAAACATTGTGATAACCTGATGTGCAGTCATGTGTACATCTATTAAATAATAAAGAAGAAAGCATAGTTCCAAAAATAACTAGTAATATTTTAATTGTTACTATAAGTTCAAGATTTATCATTATTGAAAATTGCTTAAAAAATTCAGTTGGAGCAGTTACCCAGATTACAAAAAGTTTTGAGTTCAATTCCGAAGTACCTGGTGCTGGTGAATTCTTTAAGCATTTTTCATTAAAGAATATGACATTTGTTTATTTCGATGATTGCATTTGAGTTTTTTTTTAGCAAACTTCACCCTCAGTATCTACCAAAAGTGATTGGTCAACTACGACTTTTCATATCAGATACAGTAGTAGCAGTACAAAAGCGAGCTATACAAGCTGCAAGTATTGTCTATAGAAAGACTCTGCTTTGGATATGTGACACTTCTGCAGATCTGTCTGAAATGCAGCTTGTTTGGGAGAATCTCACCCAGTTAAAGGTACAGTACATTTTGTTAATAGTGAAATAAAATAGTGTGGTCAAAATTATGAGTTGGATAATATCAAAATACTTTATTAACATTGAAATAATAAATGTATATATGTTAAAGGATAATGCTCAAAAAATCCCAGGTGTCCATCCAAATCCCATGAGCAAATGAAATATTCCTCATATTAAAGGTATAAAAGAATAAGTACAATATGCCATCATGATAATCAAAAGTTTAATGTGTAATATTGCTATTTGAATATGACTAAGGTCAAGTATTCAATTTATTAATAAAATGGAGCATTATGGAAAACAATACATTTTGCTTGTACAAAACTATCTTTCATGTTTCTCCATATAGTCTGCGTTCACATTCTCTAGGCTTGTTATTACATCTAGTAAGTTAGATATATATGAAAAGTAAGTGAGCTGGTGTGAGACTTGCTCACTTGAACTGATGAGCTTCATTTTTATCATTATATCAAGACATCAAGAATATTTTTATCGCTCTGTTTCATATTTTGATGATGCAGCTGTAGACTTTAAAAATCAATAAAAAACAAAAATAAACCATTGTGTTTTATTTTCATTATTTTAATGTTGATTGTAACACTTAGCTGTGTTTGTAACGATTTGTTCTCTAACTGTTGTCTTTTGTTAGTACATTGATATTGACCCCAGTAAAAATCGAATAGCAATATCAAACATTTAGCTATAGATTTTGATAATGCCAACAATATTCACTGACACATTTATATCTTTAATATGAGTAACATTTCATTTGCGCAGGGCCTGGGTTTTTGCCCCATACATTTTGAGTATTGTCCTTTACAGATCAAAAAGTTAACATGAGTACTTATTTTTTTACACATAATATTTTTTTTTTTCTATACATATATTAAAATTTGCCACCAGCCCAACCACCAGGACTATTATCAATGTATTTGAAGGTGTTGAAAGAATTTCATTAGATAGGCGTTTAGGGAACTGAGGCCATTGCTATAGCTGCCCCACTAAAATTAATTGCTTCTTTTAAGCTGATAGATTATTAATTTGATAACCTATATTTTTAAAAAACCGTAGCTAATGGGTTTTATTACAAGCTTCAAGGTTAACAAAAAATGTAATGTCGGTTTTTTATCAGGACCATATCTTGAATTAATAATTTCATCTAACCTTATTACCCGTTCTTTCTATTTCTTCTATGATGGCTTCATGTGGCGAAATATGGATTATATCCATATTTCGAATGAATTTATCACGATATGATAACTCTTAATTTTCTTTTAGTTAAAAGTATGATCGATTAATCCTCACTGTCGTCGATTGATATATTTTTTACATTTTTCAACTGAATTTACCATAATCACCACTGGGATTAGGGATTTTATTTCTGAAGGTTGTCTTCCTTGAGTCACTGGTTATTTTGAATAGAGGTTTTCTACCTCGCAGTTGAAACAATTAAGTTCAGACCCTCAGCCCTACGAGACATGACCACAGGGACCGAGTTATCGGGGTCATTTCCTACCTCCAACAGGGACAAATTTGTTAGGCTTGTATGATCGGGTTATTTAATTGCCACCCAATAGTCGGCGTTGGCTCTCTTTAGCATCACCCAGTGGATACGTATAGGTCTTCGAAATGATGGGAATTCCTACGGATGCGAATGACTTTTGTCCCCCAAATTACATTTACATAATATATTCATAAGCCTCAAACAAGTTGCTGAATAAATTTCGATCTTGTACGCATTCTCGAGAATTCGATTTAATTGTGAAAAAATTGGTGTCCATTATGGTTTAATGACGGCTTTAGGCTTTAATTTATTTTTAACTTATGAAAGTTTTAATGGACATTTGTTAGGTCAATTCAGAAACTAACTGCCAGTTGGCAGTTAGTTTCTGAATTGACCCTGAATTTAAACAAAGTAGTTAAATAATATCCTTTATATTATTCAATTCTTCTGTAACTTAATATTATTATGTCCATGAATAACTTACAACGCATACACACAATTGTTATGAGATTTAAGACAACATTAAATGAAACTGTGTATAAGATTCTAGCTTATTTTCTTGTCTGTTATTTCAAAATGAAATCATTATTTGCCTGGGTTAAATGGTTCTGAATTAAGGAGAACTAAATTTAAGTCCTATCGGTGTATAGTGAATATGAATTCTTTGTAACAGGCATTTAAATAATATTCCCAAAATATTTTCAACAGCTTATGGTGTTAAACATGATAGATAGTGATAATGAGGGTATTCGCACACACTCAATTAAATTCTTGGAAGAGGTGGTGCTTCTGCAAAGTCACGGTGAAGGTTCTTCTGACGACGAGTTCTGTTTGGACGATCTGCCAACTAACCTACCCTTCATAAATAGGAGAGCACTAGAAGAAGAATCTGAGTATGTATATAGGGTATTTTAAATTAATTTTTAAAAATTTGGTGGTGTTGTAGCATCTATTCTATAATATGAAACTGAATATACCATAATAAATCATAGGTGTTTTAGTTCTCCATCAAAGAACATCTTAAAATTTCACTGTAATTTATAGTAAAATTTCCTTTTTTTTTGCAAACCAATTTCAAAAAAGCCAAGGTCAGAACTAAATAAATAAAATTACTGAAATATATTATTTTATTTTGTTACAGGCATATTTTTAAACTGCTCGTAAAATTCCACAATTCTCAACATATTTCTAGTGTCAATTTGATGGCTTGTATGACCACACTATGCCTCCTGGCTAAATTCAGACCTAAGTTCATGCCCCGAGTCATACAAGCTCTAGGTGATCTGCACACTACATTACCACCAACCTTATCACAGTCACAAGTGAACTCTGTAAGAAAGCATTTGAAAATGCTACTCATAACCTTGATAAAACACCCTTCATCAATTGAAATGATGCCACAACTTACCCAACTATTGATCGATATTGGAATGACAACACAGGAAATAAATAAAGTGGTTCCAAAAGAACGGAGAAATAAAAGACTTGGTGAAATAAAGAATGGGGATACACCATCCAAAAGGATAAGAGTTGATTCACCCCAAAGTAACAGCCAAGGCAGCGACAGCAACAGTCGCAGCGACTTTATAATGTTCGAGGATACTACTACCTCGGAACCAAGTCAAGCTTTACCAAAGCCAAACGTAACTGAAGAGAGTGTTCTAGATGGTCTAAATAATGTTGAAATCGTTGTTAGTTTAGTAACAGCGACATTAGTGAACTGCCTCCCAGCAGAGATGCCGGCCAATTTCGTCGATCTCTACAAACCAATACCGAATTCCGGGAGCAAAGCACAAAAAAAGAACTTAGCGAAAATGATGTTAGCTTTGATCAAGGAGGAACCTATTGCAACGTCTTCAGTTACAAAACCAGCTCCGCCTCAATCAGCTTTTTCTGATATTGCAGCTAAAATACCTTTACTCCGCGACGATGATGAAAAGATAACACTGAAAAATGCTGTAGCTAAGTTACAAGAATCGACGAAAGCCGACAGACAAGTCGAGAGTGCTGTATCGAAGCTGATGGAAGAAACAAGACAGGAACACTTAAAAGAGGAGGAAAGGAAAGCAAAAGAAAAAGAGAAACCGATACCGCCACCGACGCCGACAGTACCGAAACTCAAACAGAAGGTCAAATTGCTTAAGCTTCAAGAAATAACACGTCCAATACCTAAAGAAATAAAGGAGAGGTTGTTGAAACAATCTGTTAATCGGATATTAAGAGCAGAGAAAGAGAGTGCCATCGGCGGTGTCGCTCATATACGAGCTAAATTTATAACGATATTCGCATCAAGTTACACACCAGAAATAAGAGAATTAGTTCAGAATTACATTTTGGAAGACCCACTTAGTAGGATTGATTTGGCACTGTCATGGTTGTATGAAGAGTATGCTTTTATGCAGGGCTTCAATCGTCATCCTGTTACATTGCAACCGAAGCTGCACGAAAAACATGATCAGAATTATAGCCAGCTACTTTGTGTATTGATAACGCAGATCTGTGAGAGAGGGGACCCTATTATGGAAAACAATAGGGACGTTTTACTAAGGAAGATATATTCAGAGGCGCCGGTGGTGACCGAAGAGGCTGTAGATTATCTTAAACATTTAGTGACCGAAGAAAAAGTAGCGTTGGTAGCTTTGGAAATATTAGAAGATCTATGTTTGATGAGACCTCCGCGAGCTCACAAATTTGTTGCTGCGCTGGTGTGTCATGTCTGTAAGTATCAAAATTTGTTAATTCATCCTTCACTTTAAACCTTTTGTACTAATTTTGAAACATTAACACTATTCGTAAGGAATACCCAAGCAACCAACTGCTTGTGTCAATGAAGATTCTATTTACTCACTAATTTAACTCATTATTATGGTAGGCTGATTAAATTTATTGTGTTTGTTGGGTATTGGCCACTGTCAACGGACAGGCATTGGCAGATGTTAACAACTGCAGATGCAGCTGAAACCAATATCTTAACGTACCTTCTAAAGCATGGATGGACTCGAGATAGTAAATTTTTGATGTCCTTTAATTTTTAAATATATTTTTTCTACATACTTGCAAGATTTTGAACTTTATCATCAACAGATTAAGGTTCAAAATACACTTGTATTTGATAGTTCTGTAGGACGTGCTGTCGACTGTAATATAATCTTTTCAATTATAGTGAACGAAAATGAAGAAATACGCGACATTACCATCAAATCGGTGTTGAAAATATACCTACAGGGCTCTGAAGCCGTCAAGAGAGTGATAGAGAAGCATGCTATGTTATACTTGGGCTTCATATCGCTGTCCAGCCCTCCGCAAGAGTTGCTCACTCACAGACATTCCACGCGGACGCCATGGACCGACGAATTGTTCAAAATGTGTCTAAATTTGATTATGGCGTTATTCCCATATAACGAAGGTGAGATATGTCAATATTAGTGTTGTGTACGATAATAGAATCGAAGGTTTAGTATTGTGAATAGGACATATTTACAAAGAATTTTAAATAAAAAATAAATTATTATTTTGATGTGTCAAATAAACTGAAGGTATATCAACAAACATTGGTCATTGACCTCTGTGTACGTCACGCATGTGTATATATAGACATTATTTTTGATTTATCTTTGATGTTATAAGTTAAAAAAAGAAAAAAGTGAACATGTCTTAATACAATATTATTAATTTAAAATTCCAATTTATTACAACTGATCTAGTTTTATGTAAGTCACAAGTCTAATTATTGAAGGTATTCTATTTCTTGAAAATAAAGCAACTCTTGCTGGCTTTCTTGCTGATTGTTCTCTGTACAAGGTCTCCTGTAGTAGATTTACGAATGGACGGTATAAAGTTTCGGCTTTCACAAATATTTGTAACAGCCTGAATAGATTATTTTCTTTTAACTATGTACTGGGCAAAAAATAAAAATTCCTTATTTTTATACTGGCCAAAAAAAAAACTTTATTATTATGATTTTGGAGTATATTTAATGAAGCGTGTAATTTTTACGAACTTGGGTTATTTCCAGGTTTCATGTTAATTACTTATTGAATTAAAGTTATTAATTTAATGATTACTCTGCTGTATAGTAGCGTAAAAGTAACAAGTGCTTCAAAGATTCGTCAGTCCTGTTAGGTCCTCAGTAGCTCAGTAGTTAGAGCGGTCGCCCGGATTACGAAAGTTGGGTTCGAATCCCAACTCAGAGTACCAGGGACAAAGTGGATTTTTCAAGAATTTTTCATTAATAATATTTTCCAGTATAGCATTGTGAACGCCTAATTGATCGAAATACAATTTACATTACTGATTTTATGTTTTAAACCGTAGAATTAATATTGGAAGTGGCGCGAGTATATGGATGTGCGGGTTCGGACGCGAAGCGTGTAGTGTTGCGGGCGGTGGAGGGGCCCGTCCGGTCGCTGATCGCCGCACCGGACGCGTCCGAATCAACGGACCGGACGGGTCCGTCCGAACACGAGGGACGGACGGACGGCCAACTGAGACCCGCTTTCCGCGCTCTGCTGGAAGAGTGCCCTCGCGGCGCTGAGACTCTCCTGACAAGATTGGTTCACATATTCACTGAGAAAGGTAAGGAAATAATTGCTATGAATTAATGAATGTAGTTCGGTGGCGTAGAGGATAAGCGCCGCGGCCCGCGATCGTTGTTGCAACTTTCGCAAGGGTCGGTCACGGGATGGGTGGTCCAAAAAATTATTATCTCGAGCTACTTCGTGCTTCGGAAGGCACGTTAAGCCGTTGGTCCCGGCTGCATTTGCAGTCGTTAATATTCACCAATCCGCATTGGGTTAGCGTAGAGGGTCATGGCCTATCCTCCTTAACCATCCATAAGGAAGGCCTGAGCCCCTGCAGTGGGGACGTAAAAGGGCTGGTGATGATGATGATGATGAATGAGAGTTAAAATAAAAAATATTTTCCTCCTATATTTAATTGCTGTGGCACTTGCTTATGGAATTGAATAGGAGTAAATGGCTATCACGCGGGCCTTATACGGATTGATGGGTGTTAACGAACGCAAATGTATTTGAAATCGTCGGCTTAACTCATGGTAGTTAAATTTTGGTCACCCTTCTTATGACTTGACTTGCTTAACATCAGCATCGTAGAATGAATGCTCCAAACATGGTTTCTTTTCCTTTAAAAAGGCTCTAGAATATAAAAGGCAAAGCTTCATATATAACTGATTCATCTATCAACATACTAACAATAGTCTTAATTATCAAGATATATTTTTTAATAATTATCCGTCAATTATCAATGATAATTATTACATCGAAGCCTGCATAGAGGTTCGCTCAAATTTTTTTTAAAGAATTTTGAAAATTTTCACCTGTAAGGGGGGTTAAATAAGGGTTTGATAATAGCAAGTGTATAATTTGGAATGTGTTTTATTGTAATAGCACCCCCGTCTCAAGAACTGGTCTCGCGCGTACGAGAACTGTACGCAACGAGGGTGTCCGACGTTCGATTCCTTATTCCAGTTCTTACCGGTCTATCTAAAAAGGAGGTGAGTGTTATATTATAATAACTCATATAAAAATAAACAATATTTAAGTTTTAATCTTTTTCATAAATTATTATAAGCTAGAGCTATCGTAGTTGTTACAAGTTGGCAGGTGAGACAAGACAGGTGTCAGAGTATTTAAAAATATATTATAATTAAATAAGGATGGTAAAAAAAATTATGTATATATATTTAGTCCGACAGTTTTAAAAAAATAATTCTATTTAGTCTGTCAGTTTTCTGCTGCTTCAATTAACAAGAAATTACTTGACAATAGGAATTAAAGTTAAGTAGGGGGGCTCGTTACGTCACAACTATGTAGAAAATGTACAAAGGAGTGACATCATACGACATTTCGACTCAATGTTTTATAGTCTTCAATTATTTACTTGACGGACAGACAAATAAAAATTAGAACCTGTAAGAAGAGCTGTGGATCCAGCACCTCTACCATGCAGAGCTGACGCACTGTCAGAATCAGAACTTATGTTCCTACTAGCTAAATAAAATAAATACAAAGTTGGGTTGTAAATATACGTGAAAATTTTTATTGACAACAAACAAACAGATATCAAAAGTCACACGTCACCGTCACATATCAACTTTCGAATGTCCGATGGCCAGCAACTAAATTGGATAGAACCTCCAACAGTAATCACCACTATTAATGACAATATTATACACACTGTACATAAAAAAAGAAATAGGTCTAACGAAATAACTATATAAAATAATACCTCTGTACCAGATTGGCTCGCACGCTGGTGTCAAGGTACCATATCTGTAAGGGTTTTGTCATATATTAAATAATACACGTAACTAATATTAAGTAACTATTTCCATAATTTATTGGGAATGACATAACAAACTCAGGTTGCTAAGCGATGCATATCGGACGTAATATATGACAGGTTTGATTCCCGGTCAGTCAGTGTAGAAAAGGAATTTTTCTATACTGTTTCGGTCTGGGTGTTTAGGTACATTGGTTGTTTCAAATACTCTATGATACAGGGCTACTCATCTTGGAATCTATGCAATGTATGAGATGTTATTTAATATGTAAAAAAGAATTTTCTAAAAAAATAAATAATCTTAATGTTAACTGTTAACTGTTTGAGCGATGATATTTAAGGGCTAAGGGTTAATTATAACATATAAATTAATATTACCTTTTAGTTCCAATTACTATCATAAGGTACTTTTTTTTCAGATTTTGGCAGCCCTACCAAAGCTTATAAAGCTCAATCCTGTTGTAGTGAAGGAAGTATTCAACAAACTCCTCGGCTTGCAGAACCCTAATGAGGAATCACCGAGTAAGTTCGTTCACATTAACCGAACAATATGTTAAATATATCCTATAAGATCCAAATGAAATATAATAATTTGTTTTTTGTTTGCAGTTTGTGAGATTTGTAAGTAGAAAAATATAGTTTTCACTTGTTTCACTCATAAAGTCCGCTTTTATAGCGTACTGAAGCGGAGCTGATATAACATGTTATTATCTAGGAAAAAAGAATTTTTTATATCAATGAACCTACAGAAAAGTATTTATAAAAATGTGAAATACTCTTATATAAGAGTATTTTGAAAATGAAACTAAAAGCAGCGACCTCTGTGATTAATTATGATTGTGATCTGTATTATGACCTTAAACAATTTTTGTTTGTGTTCACCACAGAATAAATAAAAAGGTTAGAACGATACAGTGGACCGTGTTTTCCAACCATCTATATGCCCAAAACGGTCATATGATGCTTATATGCCCCGTGTAGTATTTGCACGTCATTATTATGTACTGTTCATTTACTTATGGTGTGTACAATAAAGTCTTTCATTCATTCTTTCATTCATAATTATTTTATTATTATTATAATAATTCATTTTAGCATTAATCTATGCCATTGACCATACTTTACCTAAATCATAGTCGAGACTGTTTAGTGAGGTAAAACAAAATTAATAATGTCACCAGCTCTTTGATTTTCAAATTTTTTAAATAGGAATGACGACTGGGTAAAAAAAATCTATTCTATTTAGTCCGTCAGTCAGATAATAGAAAAATATTAGATACGTATTTTTTTTACTTCAATTTAACAAGCAATAGCTTAGATAACAGGCATTAAAGTTGAGGAGTGGGGGCTCGTTACGTCACAGTTTTGTAGAAAATGTACCAAAGCGTGACGTCACGCGACATTTTAACTCAATGTATCACCGTAATTTAATGATTACGAATAAAATAAAAATATACGAAAATACGGCAAATAAACAAAAATTAATCGTCATGCTTACTGTTGTGCCCTGTAATTTGAAAACGCAGATAGGTTGTGCATTATATATTTATTTTATTACACACAAACAAATTTATTATTTGCGCTTCAATTTTAGCATTTAGAACTTACGATATTAATTATGCAGATTTTTATTATGATGGTAACACATGTTGTGTATTACCGTTAAACCAACTGTATTATTAGGACAGTTTAGACTATTTTTGCAGAAAGTTTTGTAGCCAATGGTAGCATCGCTCTATTTGTGTGCTGAATAGGTGAAGTTTAACGTTCATGTGGTAACTGGTCCTAGTAATAATTTTAGTACGCTATCATTCTAACCTTTTTATATACCAGAAAAAAATAATAGGTATTTATTTTCATTTAGTATCTGCAGCCGTATTATCGCTGTTATTTTTTTCAGTTGATCCAGTGGAGTTGATGATCGCTCTGCATCTGATCGATCCGAGCAACGCCGATTTGAAATATATAATTAAAGCGACGGCGCTTTGTTTCGGGGAGAAGAACACTTACACGCAGGACGTGAGTATTTGTTACTGTATAATGTTGAGTTTGATTTAAAAGTATGTAAGACTGTAGCATATTATTATTGATTACCCAAGTTTTTGCTTGATATATGACATATATTTTAAATGGCTTAACTTATTAATTTTTCATTTGCCACGTGTCACATATAAACTATGCCTAAAGTGAGCTCATTGTTATCATTCGGACAGGATTTATTTTTCCCTTATTGCTTTTATCGCTTTTTTTGTACGACGGCCAAATTTATTTTTGTCACAAACAGAGAGGTTTTATTGTACCCATCAATGGGCCGGGCCACAAACATTAGACTTATACCAAGAGTATGGAGGGTTTTGTAAATTGTGATTGGATCCATACTTACTTTATATAATGCAATCACAGCGGTTCAGTTCTCTTTATCACCCCACTCCATTTTAATATCACAAAATGTTTTATAATGTATTGGCGCGAAAATAAGCAAAAGACAACAAATAATCATATAAAAATGACAGATTCTTAATTCAAAATTTTATTTCGTAATCGCTCGTTAGGTGGCACCGTTCTCGTTTTATTGATATCTTTTATCACAATGACGTCACGAATACAAAAAAAAGGAAATTTCGATTTCGTTTTAAGACAAGAGAACGTATTTTTCATTCCGAAATATTTGTTTTGTGTCTATTTGTTTTAAATTAAAACGAACACTTGCGGTTAGTATTCGAAGTGTGTAATACCCTATTGCAATGCCGTGCAGGTGTTATCCGCGGTGCTGCAGCGGCTGGCCGAGCAGCCGCAGCTGCCGGTGCTGATGATGCGCTCGGTGCTGCAGGCGCTGACGCTGCACCCCGCGCTGGCGCCGCTCGTGCTCAACATCCTGCAGCTGCTCGTCGAGAAGGAGGTCGATAGCCCTCCCCGCCTTCTTTTTAGCTAACGCGGGAGGCGTGCATTAAGCCTTGAACCAGGGCTAACGTCGGTTATTACCAAAGGTCGGAATCAGGTAGAGTTATTTATGTACTTGCATCGAAATGTTGATATTAATGTGGACCTTCCCGGGATTTCTAATGGACAATCTTGGACATCTTTGGACATCCGATGTCATTGATGAAAGTTTGGCAACGTCGTGCGTGCAGTAGTTTAAATTGTGTAAAAGTAAATAACTTTTTATTTAAAAAATCACGGGATTTTTTCTGCACTTTAAAATTAATCTCGGGTTTTGAGGCATATCCACTTTATTCTTTCGCTGTATGAAATCCGTGTAAGAACATGAATAACTCTACCTAATTCCGACCACTGGTTATCACACAGGTGTGGAAGAACAAGGTGGCGTGGGAGGGGTGGCTGAAGTGCACGGAGCGCCTGCTGCCGCAGTCCGGGTTCCTGCTGTGCGCGCTGCCGGCGCGCGCGCTGCACGCGGGGGCGGGGGCGGGGGCCGCGGGGGCGGGGGGCGGGGGCGCTGCTGCGGCGCCACGTGGGGGCGCTGCCGCCGCACGAGAGGAGCGCGCTGCCGCCGCACGTGCTCGCCGCCGCGCAACAGGTGAACGCAATACCGTATTGTCCTGATTGCAGGCCAATTGGCGTGATGACTCATTTTTGTTTGTTTGGCCGGCAGATGATTGAAGAATATTGAACGCGTATTTTTTTTTATTTGTTACATTAATCAATAAATTACGGTGATACATCTAGTTGAAATGTTACATGACGTCACACCTTTGTACATTGTGCCGTAGCGAGCCCCCCTTTCTCAATCTAATGCTTAATATCTAAGCCATTTCTTGTTCAATTGAAACGAAAAAAATATGTATCTAATACTTTTTTATTATCTGACTGGCGGACTAAATAGAGTTTCTTTTTTCTACCCTGCCATTTTAGCGTGATAATTTAAATTATTGTTTAAAATATGTTTTTCCTTTAATTAAAATCATTCTTTAAAGAAAAATATATCGTAGTGGTTAAATATGATCATACGAAGGTTTTAAAATAATTTTCCCAGTACACTCAACTAGTCAATATTAACATTTATATGTTTGTTTGTTACAGGAACCGCAACAGTTGCAGTCTCAATACACGCCCCCGCCGATGTCTACGCCCGTGGAGCCGTTGCCGCCCGGCATGGAATGACAAACGTGTGTCGTCCCACTCACACCGGGGACGTTAGAATGAGACAAGACATTCTTATATTATAATAAAATTAATTTTATGAAATCAACTCTCAGTTTCTTTTAATCATTGTTTTCACAACGTTTAATATCGATATTAATAATGTAATTTAAATGTGTATTTGAAAAGGATATCGTACAACATCCTACGGAAAATGACAAATATAAAAAAAATCTGACAAATATACGATATAACATTCAGCCGTGCACACACGATAATTGGCGGATCTTCCGTCAGGTTTTCGACGACCCTAACAATGAAAAGTATAGATAAATATCGATACATCGTGTATATGATTGACAAATTTTGTGATACTTAATAATGAAGAATGTTGTAGCATTATGTCATGTCTTGTGTAAGTATTCGTAGGTATTAAAATAACCTTAAGACTCACGAAACGACTATATATAAATAAGAACTATGTTATAATCAGTGGGCGGAATTAGGTAGAGTTATTCATGTACTTACACTGATTTCATACAGTGAAAGAAGAAAGTGGATATGCCTCAAATCCCGAGATTAATTTTAAAGAGCAGAAAAAATCCCGTGATTTTTTAAATAAAAAGTTATTTACTTTTACACAATTTAAACTACTGCACGCACGACGTTGCCAAACTTACATCAATGAAAGAAAGAAATAAAGAAAGAAGAAATAAAGAAATCCCGGGAAGGTCCACATTAATATCAACATTTCGATGCAAGTACATAAATAACTCTACCTAATTCCGACCTCTGGTTTTAATTCTAAAACATTCAAATCAATATTCTAAATTCTAAAAGAAACTGAAAGTAAAAAAATATTCCAGTCTCTTTCTCACTTTTGCGCTTTTATACACACATCAAAAGATTACTAACCAAAGGTAAAAAAAATTGCAATTAATTTTGAACTTAACCTTCAACACCTTGAGGCTTAAATTCGATATATATTCACTTTTTAGTAAACTGACGTGTTGTTAAAATACTTGATGTACTAAAGGCATCAAAATGAGAATGTGTGATGAATGTGTTAATATTGTGATAATTCGTTGCTCCGCTAGACTCAATAAATAGCATTGTTTTCTTTATTATTGTGTAAATAGGTATGTTATTATTTCCAACAATGTGTTTTTGAGAATAAATACTTGGTATTCAACGGAAATTTTATTTGTTAAGGCAATATCCGTTATAGATATCAATAAAAGTAAATCAGTAGATGACGAAATAAGGACAGATTACGCAGATATGTAATTTCGGATAAGTCTTCGTGGTGTTGATGTACTGATGTCTGCCCATCACTCCAATAGTTATCTCTGAGTTTAAAGAATTTACAAAAACAAAAAATCGCGCTGCTAGACTACGTTAGCCAAGTGTCGCCACAAATATGTGTCCGTCAGTCAGTATAACAGTATATCGTACAAAAATTTGAGACTAGAATATTCCATTGTAGTCTAATTACAGCGTAATTTATTCCACTTCCAGGACGTGTACCATGACAAATCCGAGAAACTTTATTACACTCAATTGTTCATCTTCCTCCGGTCAAGTGAGATACCATATAAGCATTAGTTCAGACAAAATGTTCTCGAGATGGCTTGAACTAGTAAACCATTGTCATATCGCGAGTATCCACTACTGTAGAGCACCAGTAAGTGCACTGCAAAATAGTTTAGTATTCTGTTTAACCAAATCGAGAATTCTAGTCTCATATTTTGGTGACGCAACGCACAGCACACACCATACTGTATATACCGTTACATCGGAATTAAAAAGCATTCTGACTGGGAATGGAAGTTGGAAGTGGACTACCGCAAAATAACGCCTGATTCTATAAAATAAAAAGAAGAATTTTTAATGTATAAATAATTTATTGATTATTGGATAATCGTAAATAAATATAACTAGTAATAGTCCCAATCAACCAATTCCTTACTTATATATAACCATCTTATAATTACATTTTGTAAATACCTTCACCATTTCCACAAGTATCTATTATAATAAATTCGTTTGAGCCAATAAATGCTTGTTCCCAATTTTGAGAGAAACACTTATATTATTGGAATTAACTAGTCACAACTAATCATAACCCACCATGCGGGTTCAGTGCGGATTGTTAGGTGTTAACGACTTCTGAAGGAGCCCCGATCGACGATTAACGTTCCTTCCGAAACATAGCTTTATTTAAACTAAAAATGTTTGGTCACCCATCGCATGACCTACCTCTTCTATCGTTGCTTAACCTGTTCAATCGCAGATTGAATACGGTACTCAATGCGTCATCTAACTTCTCTGTATAATGAATGACTTGACGTTATTTGAGTTTGAAACTGTCAATTTTGGGCGAGATCGCTTTGAGTATATTTTCTACGGTGAATGGTGCCTCTGAAAAGGAAAAGGGGTCATACTGACATATCGATTTGTCAATAAAAAAAAAAATAGAATGTCATTTAGATTTTTTTTTTTTTTTTATTGTTTTAACAATGTCATTTAGATGTCAACGTGTCATTTAGAAAAATAAGGTCACTGTTTAACGTGTCTGATTAAAAACCATAATTATAAAATGAGAAAATAAATTATTTAAAATATTCTCAATAAGTTGATAAATCTTCATTTGATTACATATCGAACATACGATTCGATGTTATACGTCTAAATAAATGAAAAGTAACATAAAAAATATTGTGAACGCTTCAATAATTATTAAATTAGTAAATATTTAATTTTCTGACGTTTCTGATCTTTTGCCAGCATCATTGTCACTAGACTGAGTTGTCTTCTTGAAATATTTAAAGGATAGCGTATTGTTTATTATAGTACTAGTTTGTAACTAGCGACATCGCCGGCCTAACTTATAGTCTATGTCGTATGATGTAGCTTCGCTTAAGTGTAAAGTAAAAATAAATCTGTAAAAAGCCTATTTGATGCAAATAAACAATTAAATATGTTCCCTTTACAATATCACTACATAGTACAAAACAAAGTCGCTTTCTCTGTTCCTATATTCTTATATATGCTTAAATCTTTAAAACTACGCAACGTATTTAGATGCGGTGTTTTTTTTTCATAGATAGGGTGATTCAAAAGGAAGGTTTTTTATGTATAATACAAGCCACGCGGGCGAAGCCGCTTGCGGATAGTTAGTAAGGTATATATGAATAGTCTCACCGACGTCGATCCACTGATCGTCCTGATATCCGAACTCGGCCCGGGCCGCCAGTATCGCCTCCCGCAGCGCGTGACACACGGTCACTGCCAGCGTCAGGGACGGCTCACCTGTCGCTGTGTAACAAAAAATATATGGGGAACAAGAATTGGCCAATTGAAAGGTCATCATCATCATCAGCCCTTTTACATCTCTATTGCAGGTTAAGGAGGGTCATGACCCTTCACGCTAGCCATATGGGGATTGATGGGTATAACCTACTGGAAATTCAGCCGCGGCCAACGGCTTAGCGTGTCTTCTGAAGTACGGAGTGAGATAGTAATTTTTTGGTCACCCATCCCGTGACCGACCCTTGCGAAGATTGCTTAACGACAACGATCTCAGGCCACGGCGCTTATCCACTACAGGTATACTTACGGCCGGTTTCCGAATTGAGATAAGTTCAAAATCTCAACTGTTTATTATCAATAACTTAAGTTTTTACATCTTGCATGGCGAAAAGGCCTAGTTTTATCAAACTGTTATTATCATAAAAAAAAATCAGGAACCGAAAACTGTTTAAACGACATTTGAAAGGGCTTAAGTACGGTTTGAGACGTGCTTAACTTTAAATTCTCAATTCAGAAACCGGGTGTTACCTTTGGATCTGAGTACACCGGCAGGATTGGGCGCGTTCTTCCTGAATGATAGTCTGAAATCCATCGGGATATCTCTAGCTCCGGGCGGGTGATAATCCCACGTCGTGTTGGTGAGCAGGCGTCCTTCATCATCGTATATCAACTGTTCACTCGTCCACAAACCCATGCCCATCACGAACGCTCCCTCGATCTACAATGTACAGTCAACAGCATGTTAGGTTATATGAAACTGCCGGAAGTTGCCCACTTGACTTTGAACCTTAATACAACATCACTGCATATACTCCATTCATTATAACATTAGAAAAAAGAGGGTCATAGAAGCAGCAGTGCACAACATTTTATTTTCAAGATAAATTTAAATATTTTATATTATAGTTTTCTTGAAACTTTGAACGATAAGGTAGTCTGAAAGAGCTAGACAATTTTTCATTTTCTACGATAACTCGGGGTTGAGATGAGTCCAGCTTTTTCTAAATTCATCTTATACTCCCAAGCCAACATGGAACTAAAACTATCTATCTGTTGTTTTGATAAATTCTAATTGTAAGTGTATATAATTTGAGTAAAAATTAGCTATATCTATGTCCAGGAAAGAAAGGTAAACAAAATTAAATTTTTATAATACTTTTATAACATTTATTCAGACATAAGACTGTTAATGAAGACTTTGGAAAAACTTCCTGAAATGTCAAAGGTTGAGGGTAGGTATGGGGGCTTAGAGCGTAATTGTTGTAGGCCACTCGGGCCTGCACCGACATCGTCCATATTTAACAAATTTTAACAACAACAATAAAACTATAAAAAAACAATAACAACTTAATCACGGAAAACGGCATAACAACAAGAAAGGCGCAGTAGCGTTCACAATCCCAGATTACGTATTTCGACAATTATGAATACATAGTCTGACAAAATTAAAAAGCTGTACTGCCGAAACGTTTGATGGGATTAAGCAACGTTTTAAATTTGGTAGAGTTATAATGACATGAGAATCGTGCCGAAACTAGCCAACCCTGCTACTTTAGGTTCTTTAGATGAACACTTTTTATTGTAATAGTTATTAAATAACTTAAGTTCATCAAATACTCATAAATTTGTTTAATAGATAGCTTAAATGATAACAGTTAAGTATAGCAGCTGGTATTTAAGTGGATATGTAGCAAATTAGCCGTCAGTCTTAAGAAGTAACATGATTATTGATATTTGTCACAAAGTATACCATAAAAAGAACCTTATTTAACTTCTGTCTAATGCTATAATATTATTTGGATAATTATCATGAAATATCTGCTAATTGTCCATAGTTACTGGGAACGATTATCACTCCGAACCCTGACTATAATTGACAAATTTTGCATTTACAATAATATTTATAAGACAAGTGGTTATAACAGGCAAGCTGTTATAATGCATATGCTAGAATTAGGCGAAAAATTTTTTTATCGTTTTATTTTGCAAAACAAAAAAGAAACGTTATCAGTATACAAACTAGGTATATTGACAAAAATATATAACATAATAAGCAACGAATTTATTGAAATGACCAATTAAATCAATAAAAAAATATGTATACCTGTCCAACATCAATATCTGGACTCAGGCTGATGCCTACGTCTTCAAGGAAGTCCACCCTGGTCACCTCATGTCTACCAGTCAGTACGTCAAGTTCCACTTCAGCCACACATACGCCGTATACGTTATAGGGTTTGAGTTTGTCTACAGTTTGTGACATCATGTAGTTACTCTGCAGATTTATGCCTATAATATAATAATTATAATAATTAAATACATATCCATAATGGGGATGATAACATTTTTATTTGTCCAACAGATAAATTGTAAAAAAATATTAAATTCATATTTTTTTTGTAATCATTAAATTATCGCGAAAGAGTTAAAATGTCGCATGACGTCACGCTTTTATACATTTTCTTCAAAATTCGAGCGCGCGCAAAAGAGAGCCCTCACTCCTCAAATTTACACCTAATTTCTTGTTAAATTAAAACAAAAAAAAAGTATCTAATATTTTTCTATTATTATTAATATATTTTTTTACCAGTTATCGTCTTTATTATTATACATATGAATAATATCAAATCAAAATCTAAATTTTTTATTCAATAAGGAGAGTAATGTACTGATTACAAAACTATTAATTATTTCAGTTAGTAATAAATACTTTTGAATTGCTTTCATATGGTGAAAAACATGTCTGTTAAATACCATAAAATGAAAACAAATTAGATAAAACAATGTCATAAAATTAAATTAATATGTTAACAATATGAATTACCATTAGATAAAAACCTTAATTTGTATACGTTACCTTTTTCATAAGCTTTCTTAACGACATCTTCCCAGGACTGATCAGGTCCATTCCTGGCTGGTTCCAATTTCCTCAGCAGATCCTCGCAAGCTTTGATAGTAGAATACGCGACACATTCACTCGCCACACTGCCGCTGCTGACCACAGAGTTGGGAGACACAAAACTATCCGTCCCCAACACCGTTACTTTCTCCAGCGGCACTTTTAGAGTGTACGCACAAACTTGTGCCACCTTCGTGTTTATCCCCTGTCCCATCTCTATCCCCCCGTGGGACACGGACACTGTCCCATCCCCGTGGTAAACAGACACCGTCGACGGTATATTCCATTCGTACGATATTGGGAAACACATGATGGCTAACTTCAAGCCTTTCTTTTTCCATGCGTTATCCGCATTGTACTTGGCAATTTGAGTTCTACGCTCGTCGTAATCCGTGTCTCTTTTGAATGAATCTATCATATCTTTGATACTGATATGTTCGGGGTCCAAATTTGTTATTCGCACGTCGATTGGGTCCTTTCCGGTGGCGTGAGCGATTCGTTCCATTATATGTTCCATTATTGCTATCGCTTCTGTTGTACCTGGTCAGTATTAAATATTAGATGACACTATTAGAAAAACTCGATAAGTTCCGTCTGTAAGGAGGAAGTCAAGTAACTTTAAGTCATGGGTGACCAGATAAATCAGCAGCTGTCTTCAATCGTTAACACCCACCAATCATTCGGCACGCGTTGTGGGTCATGACCCGTTCTTCTCGTTTAATTACGTTCATAAGACATTTTTAGGCAGATAATGATGATGATTAGATGACATAAAGATTTAAATATATAAGAAAATTAGCATAAATACCTATAATTTATGCGAATTATATTTATGCTAATAATCTTATCAGACACGAAAGCACCGAGTTCAGAACTGCGATAAAAACAAAAAGCGAAACGGCGAAGGTTATATACATTTTTTAAAATTTATTCTTTAATATAATACATATTATTTTGGTAATGACATGATTTATGTAAATGTCATTCATTACTTATGATAAAGAGCTGGTAAGTTTCTTTCGCTTGTTCTTCTTGTCAGCTCAAAGAAGTCCTGAACAAGTGGTAGGGGAAATTTTTTTTTGAAGATTCAAAAGTGCTTGTTACAGCCTACTTGAATAACGATATTTTCATTTCATTTCATATAAGGCTGAGAAAAATTATGCTTTAAAATTATGCGTAAACATTATTAGTACAAACAAAATTATGCCAAGTTATGTTAAAGCGAGCACTAACCCGGCGACCGGCACCACGTGTTGGCGGGCTTGTCGGTGAGCACGCTGTAGCCGCGCACGCTCCACGTGCCGCTCGCGTACAAGTTCGCGAGCGCGCTCGCCACGCCCGCCGCCGTCGTGTCGTTGTAGTTGACGCCGCAATCGGAGTAGTAAGTCAGCTCCATGTACTGTATCAGGCCGTCGTCGTTCACACCCACCTGATGTTAGTGTCATTTGTTAATGTAGAGGGAAACGTTTGAATCTATATTTGCGAAAATGGCGCGGATGGAGGAAGGACGAATGCGAATATTTTTTTTAAGACATATTTTAAAATATATTCATTTTTTTAATGTACTATAAGAAGGGGTTGTCAGTTTCATTTAGATGTAGTCTCGTCGGCCTGGGATTTTAAACATGCGAGTTAAATCTTTCGAGAACTGCATGTCATGTATATTCCTATGTTTGTCTGCATATTTCTTGCAAATTAAGAATAATCTTTAATTAATTGTACAATTAGCGTTATTTATGGAAATATGTAAATTGTCATCGCAACAATTGTTGGTGAACTAATAAATAAATAAATTATATGTTACATAAAAACTAAAGAAAGCACATACATCAAGAAATATAGCTATTCCTTGATAATAAAATTTCAATAATGATCAAATTGAACAATTCAGCCAGTGGATAATCACTAGTATAAAGGAATCAGAAAAGTGATTTAAATGAAAACATTATCACCTGTTTTTTTTTTGCATTTAGTGATGGTAAAATTTTTATCTTTATATAAATTATTCGCATCGATTATATAATCGATTAGGGCAAAAATCTTTCTCGATATTTAAGCACAGAAAAAAAACAAATTAAAATTAATAAAAATACCTATTTACATGTCAGGGGTGTACTTAAAGTAATTGTCGAAAGTGGTTTAGGATACTGCCAAATCACAAGTCAAGTTTCTGCGCCGCGCACGCGCATCATGATACGTTCGCCGCCTAATACGCATTCTACAGAAAATAAAATCAGTGAAAATAAATCTGTATCGAGCAAATGTGTGACGTGTGGTGTGGTTATAAATGAACTTTTAGCTTTTATTAACGACAAGGTGGATACGCTTCCTGAAACTGCCATTTTACAAATATGTACAAGTGCATATGTGTGTGACGAAATTGAAGATGCGCGTAATATTGTGATGACATTACTTGCTCCGAATAAAAGAATTTTAAGACGAAAAGAGGGGTCCGAACAAAAAAGCCTTCTGGAAATTATAAAATTAATTAAAGAATGTGACCCTGATAACTTACCAATTTTTGTGGCAAAGAATTTATCAAAATTACCGCCTGTCACGTTCGATCATATTGACGTGACATCGTTTCTTAAGGATATGTCCATTATGAAAAAAGAATTGACTGCACTAAAATCTAATAAAGCGAGTGCTTATTCGACGAACTTTCAGCCGGATATTGAAGTATTGAAATCAGACGTTGAAGAAATTAGAAAATTATTGGCTGAATCCAATTCATATAAAAACAGAAATGTAGAAACAGAAAATGATTTCGTGAGTTTAACGTCGCCTTTGCCGGTATCCGTTGGTATGAAAAATGACTCATCATTGCATTCGCATCAGGTAGTTATAGATAAAGCGTCGACCACCACCGCCGCCGCGCCGAGCGCAAGGCCGATGATAACGCAGCGGACACAGTCAGTTTCTCCTTGTCGCACTCGAACTCCTGCGGCACAGCAGCTCGCTACTAATGAATCATCATGCGCGCCGCTGTCAATACCAACTTATCGAGACATTGTTCACCGCACTGATTACCGCCACAGTATTATGAACCCTATTGATAAAGATACAAGCGGTAAAATCAATGGTACAGTTAAAAACGTAGATGGCTTTACAATCGTGGAGTACAAAACTCGTAAGAAACATAAAAATTATAACATGTGCGGATCAGCGCAACGCTCGTGTAAAATACAAGCGGCGGATATGCCTGTTATTATTTATGTATCGAGACTCTCAAAGGGGACTACAATTGACCATATTAAAGAATATATTGAAGAGATGGGAGAAAAATGTTTAGATATACAATTACTGCATCAAAAACAAGAAACCGACTTTTCTTCTTTTAAAATTTCTGTATCAAAGAATAAAATCAACAAATTTTTATCAAACGAGTTTTGGCCTGAAGGCATTAAATATAGAATGTTTCGTGAAAAACGAGATGCGACAAAAAAGTTTGATGACCGAATTAATCACTAATTATGAAAACTACAATGATATCTTTTAATTGTAAATCGATAAAAAGATCAGCCCCCTTTATTTACGAATTGTGTAAAGAAGCAGACATAATCGCCCTGCAAGAAACGTGACTTCTACCTCACGACCTGGGTTTCGTACAAAATATTGATGACCGTTTTGCCTACACTGCAACGTCTGCAGTGGACACATCGGCTGGCGTTTTGAGAGGAAGACCGTATGGTGGACTTGCGTTTATGTGGAGAAAGTCAATGTTCCCGGATGTGTCCGTTATAAATACCAAATGCACTAGAGTGGGTGCTATTCGTATACAAATGGGCTTGCGTTCAATCCTAATTTTTAACGTATATATGCCGACAGATCACCCTGATCACCTTTCTGAGTACACAAGTTGCCTAGGAACAATAAGCGCTATAGTAGAGGAGAGTAGTGTGCGGGCGGTGTATATATTGGGTGATTTCAATTCGCACCCAAGTGCTACATTTGGTCGCGAACTGCTTACCTATTGTGAAGAGGAAGGATGGATTTGCGCAGACGTGAAGAAGTTGGGGATTGACTCCGACACCTTTACATACGTGAGTGAAAGTCATGGCACCACGAAATGGCTCGATCACTGCGTAGCAACCGCAGCAGCATGGGAAACTATTCACTCGGTCACTGTTATGTATGATGTCGCATGGTCAGACCATCTCCCGTTGAGTGTTGTTTGTGATATTGGTAGTGTAGCAGAGAGTCAAATGAGTGATAGTAGTGTCGTGAACCATAGTGGGATATATTGGGGAGACAGAGATACTAATCAAGCTGAAAAATACTACGAATATTGTAGTAATGCGCTACTAGACGTTAAGGACTGTTTTAAATGTGTTCACTGTGATAATTATAGTTATAGGCCGAAATGTATTTATATAGAAAAACATTTTAAATTTATTAGTGATTTTTATGATAATATTGTGACTGTATTGCAAATGGGTGCTAAATTAACTACGGCTAGTCGCTCTGGTGCACTGAATAGGCGTAAGGTTATAGGTTGGAACTTTCACATAAGAGAAGTACACTTAGCCTACCGTTTATATTTTGGTTGTTGGGTGGCTGCTGGTAAACCGTCGTGTGGTGAGATTTATAACAAAATGAAAAACAGTAGAAAATTATTTAAAAATAAGTTAAGATGGTGTCAGGATAATGTTGAAAAAATTAAATTAAATATATTGGCTCTTTGTAGGAAGGATAACAACTTCGTAAAATTTTGGAAAACTATAAAAAAGATGGATGTAAAACAGAGTTTACCGGTGAGTATGGATGGCTTGCAGGACAAGGAGCAGATAGCTAACTTGTTTGCCCAGAAATTCAGAGTCGATCCCTTGCCTGCGTCGGAGCGTTTGGTCGGGTTGGATGATTTTGGTTTCGCTACTGATACGGTCAAAGCTACCTTACATTTTAGTGAAGAAGATGTAGCGAATGTAGTTAGCACTATGGCGCGCGGTAAGTCACCGGGTCATGATGAATTGACTGTCGAACACTTGTTCCACGCAGGCGAGGCGCTCTGTTTGAAAGTAACAAGGCTGTTTAATCTTTGCCTTAAATACTCTTATCTGCCTCCAAATATGATGAAAACAGTTGTAGTACCGATCATTAAAAATAAAACGGGTGATGCGAGTACAGCTAATAACTACCGACCGATATCTCTAGGTACTGTTTTAGGAAAAACTTTAGAGCGACTGTTGCAGCCCGAAGTGTCGAAAAACATACAGATTGACGATGCACAGTTTGGTTTCCGTCCCGGAGTCTCTACGGATTCCGCTATTTTAACCGTCAAACATACTGTTGACTATTACGTACGCCGGAAAACATCTGTATACGCATGTTTTCTGGATCTGAGCCGCGCATTTGATCTAGTGAATTATGATATTCTCTGGAGAAAATTGCGCGGCACAGATGTCCCGGCTGAAGTGGTGGATTTGTTCGAGCATTGGTACGGAAACCAGACTAATTATGTAAAATGGGGCGACGCGACCTCTAGTAACTACAAGCTAGAATGCGGTGTACGCCAAGGAGGGTTGACTTCTCCGGATCTCTTCAATTTATATGTCAATGACTTGATCAAGGAACTGAGGGGCGCTGCCATCGGCTGTCACGTTGGTAACGTTTGTGTTAACAACTTGAGCTATGCCGATGATATGGTGCTCCTCAGTCCCTCGATCAAGGGGCTCCGTAAACTTCTTTCGATTTGTGAGCATTATGCTGATGCTCACGGTTTGAAATATAATGTCGCAAAAACAGAAGTTATGGTATTCAGAGCAAGGAAAGGTCCGGAGAACATACCAGATGTGTTTTTAAATGGTTCGGCACTTCGGGTGGTACAACAGTTCAAATATCTTGGGCATATTCTTACAGAGAATCGAAAAGACGATCTCGATATAGAACGAGAGAGAAGAGCACTATCTGTTCGTTGTAACATGCTCGCGCGCAAGTTCGGCAAATGTAGTGATGAAGTCAAATTAATTTTGTTTGGCTCATACTGTCAATGTTTTTACACTTGCCAGTTATGGTCCAACTTTAACCGTACTTCCTACAGCTCCATAAGGGTACAATACAATGACGCGTTTCGTATCCTTATGAAATATTCAAGGTACAGCAGCGCGTCGAGCATGTTCGCGGACGCCCGTACAGCGGACTTTTATGCTGTTGTGAGAAAGCGCATAGCTTCGTTTTGGACGAGGATTTGTCTTTCTGATAATAGCATAATCAGAGCCGTTAGTTGGGGTTTGGACAATCCTATATATAAGTACTGGATTTCGGTGCACCAGAGCGACAACAGAAAATAATGTTTGACAATGTATAATACTACTGAATTTTATTTTAATAATTATTATTTTATTTTATGTAAGTTTTATTTATTTTTACTTGTACTTTATTTTTGGAAATTATGTATTTGACTGTTTATTGGGTTTTTTATGCCTTTCAATAAATCAGTTCATGATTTTTAAGAATTATACAAATTTGCCATAAAGATAAAAAATGGCGTAGTATTAACTTACCTATAAGGATATTTAAAATAAAACGCCTAAATAAGTTTCTATTTTGAAGTTGCAAGAAATATCAGCAGTGTTAATTAGTTACAAACCTACACTTTCATATAAACTAATTTATAAAATTCTAGTGTCACAATCTCAGTTACCATACTCCTCCGGAACGACTTGACTGATTTACATGAAATTCAATAAGTATATCCAGTAGGTCCGAGAATAGGTTTTTATCTATTTTTACACCCCTAAGAGATAAAGGTGGTCCTATCCAAATTGACATGGCAAAACAACGAATCATTTAGTATTATATAAAAAAAAATTGAACATTTACCTGTTCTGCTCGATCCCTAGCAATCTAGCCACAGAGATGTGGATCAAGTCTATCCATTGCGTAGAGGATCGTACCAGTAACCCGTCATCTGTGTGAGATACACTGCAACTTTGTGTTTCCATAGTGAAGTGATATTGGGAAGGAATCGAGTAGCTGCCTTTTATAACATGGGTTGTGTTGTCACCTTTGCTCTTTGCTTTTATATTTACATCTTCACGAAGCTAGAAAAACATTAATTATAAAAATAAATACAAAATCTGTGGGAGAACCGAGGAAAGAAAGAAATTTATTGATTACACATTAGTTAATCATTATCATAATGTAATAAAAGAAAAAGAAAAATGCGAAGCGTAGACGGATCTCTCAGCAAAGGCCCTTGTTTCATTCATAGATGGACAGAATAATACAAAGGGTACTATTATTCTGATAGGGGCTTTACAGTTGCGTGAATTAGAGTAAAAATTTAAGGTTGTCTACTATTACTCTGTTTCTCACTCGCGTGCTGTCACTTTTTCAATCGAAAAGAACATAATTACATATTTTGTGAAAATATTACATGCCCAATGGTGGTTAAAGCCAGTTTTCCCTATTGATCATAAGGGTAACAATCACGAATAGGTTAGGCACTTACCCGTTTATCCCTATCTGGTGCAGCCAAAGCATCCTTGATACTTATCACGGGTTTCACTTCACTTTTCTTATAAGAGACCTTCACAAGATCTGCAGCAGCTATAGCCAATGTCTGTGTAGTTGCTGCAATTAATGCTATAGGTTGGCCGTAATACGATATTTTTTTTGTAGCCAGCAGTTCCTCTTGGTATTCCATCCAGGGTAAGTCACTTGGGATAAAAGCATTTTCCCCTGGTATATCTTTAGCTGTAAAGAACCCTACTACTCCAGGGGTTTTCTGAAATGAATATTAACAATCTTTGAATTAATTAGATTGATCAATCAGAGCTTGGATTGATTGGCGAGTAGTGAAGAAATAAGGGTCACTAAGTAATAAGCAGACTAAGCGTTTTCCATCGCTCTATCCTTTTTTAGAATTGAAATCCAAGAATGGTAGCCGGTGAGCGGTAGCACGTTGCGGAATCTTCAAGGCGATAGACAATACGCCATTTTTATCTATATATTCCGCTATTTATATAGCTTTAGCAAATGGCGACTTTGAGCAACAAAAAAGTATAGAGCGCCGGAATAAGTCGAAACTGTGCTGCTACATGAAAGCCAACCTTAAGCTTTGTACATCTCAATATGTAGTTCTCATCTAGAGTACCCTCAGGGTCATATTTTGGACCACTTTTGTTTATATATTGCTGAACGATATAAGATCTTGAAAAAAAAAATTGGAAAATATTAATAACGAAAAATGCTTAAGAAATGCACTTTGCCCCTGATACTTATCACGGGTTAGCTTTATACCGGTGATATATAGGAAAGGTGGGTTCGAATCCCATCTCAGAATACCAGGGACAAAGAGGATTTTTTTTATCGTTTTTCATTAACAACATTTTCCAGTATAGCATTGTGAATGCAAAATTGATCAAATATAAAAATTTGACTATTATGTGTATTATATCGATGCTGGAAAGCAAACACGTAGTAACCCGCAAAACCAAAATTGTTTTCAGAGCCAAAGAGCAGAAAATCTTATTTTTTTCCATAAATAATTCCTATAAACGTCCATGGTAACAAATAAGGTGTTCTAAATATCCATTTTAGTGTTGCAGGTTACTACGTGTTTGCTTTCCAGCATCGAAATATAACTTACTAATGAGTCACTTACCATGGCTTCAGTAGCGTCAATGTTTTCTATTTCTCCAATACATATGGTAGATAATACGAATGCCACGTATACCTGATCTCTAGATGGAATAACGTCGCAAGCATATTTCACTTCCCCTGAACACTAAACAAATAATATTTCATTGATAGCATTTAGTTTTCGACAAATACAAATAACACAGCAGTTCGTACATTCGGTTTGCGATTGCGAAGGTTAAGCGGTTATTTGCAAAGGTTGGTCATCGGATGGGTGACCGCGTGCGAGTGTATCATGGTTTCTGTTTATGAAGAAGACATAGACATAGAAATGTCACGACAGTACACAACAAAATAAAAAAGAAAGATTGTTTGTTCACAAAATTGAGTAATAACCTTTTATTATGTACAAGCTGATTTTCCGCCCGCGTAAATAATAGCCTGTCTCATTTCCGCGAATATTGTAGGTGAAAGAAATTTTAAAGTCGCTACTACTAGCGGAGCTTACACAATGCAAACAAACAAACAATAAGACCTTTTCTCTTTATAATATTAGTAAGGAAATAATTTCCAGGAGGAATCAAAATAGGACCCTACCAAAATCAAGTTACAGTAAAGGCATTACCCTACCTGTGTCAATGCCTCTAGCTTGGGTATCGGTTTGTTGAGTGGCCAAAGCGACTTGTCAGTGTCGAAGGTTTGAGTCCCGCGCGACACCTGCCGACGGAGACCGAACGCGCCCGAAACGTACCGAGGGTTCAATGATGACGTTGATGCCATAGACAATATCGCCTAAAATACCACAAAATCGTAAATATTCATCGAAATAATACAATACAGTCAATAGCAAACAATTTATATAAAAACTATCGCAATAACTTTTAAGGGTATAGCGATTGTGATAGATATGTATGGAATGAGGAAGTATTTAAAAAAGAAGAGCGTTAAAAAGCATCTCACTAGATGGCGACACTAGCAAAAGTTGATTTTAGTTGAAAACGAATGGAACAAAGACAGTAATTTCCGTTTCTTTTAACTGACATATTAAAAAACTGAAATTTGCAAAGTTCGAACCTTAGATATCAATACAAATACGAAAAAATACAAACAGAATATGAGTTGTTTATTGAGTTTTGAAAATTAAATTACTTATATACATGAAAGAAAAACGGAAGGGTTGTCTTGGAGAAATCAAGAAAGTACTGTAGCGACATCTAGTTTAATTTCGTGAACTAATGTTATTTTTTTAAATATTTATTATGTAACGGTAAAATCTAAATCACATTCGCAACGAATGATGATTTGAATGATCAACAAATATAGTAAAAACATAGTAACTTAAAGTAAGTAACATTTGCAACTAACGCCGGCCGTAGACACTTCCAATTCATATCAAATCAACGATTTCGTTCATTCAATATCTTAAAAAAAACCTTGCGATCACATTCATCATCACATATCAAATAGTTGTAGTGTGTAGATGGTGAATATCTATCAAATGCTTAATTGAAACGGATTGGATAGATTTTGTAATTACACAATTAGGTCTCTGGTTATACCTTTATAGGTAAACAATTTCTGCACACAATAATGCTTAGTATAAAACTAGGACTGATGCCCGTTTACACTTACCCAGAACAAGGCATAGCTTTACTAGAAATCTGATAATACATATTTAGAATAGCTTAGGTACGCAGATTTGTCGTTTTATCAAACCTATAACGTTAGGTAAAGCGGCATTACTAATGTAAAATTAATCTTACACAATATCTTTAGGTCCTTCAAACTTAGGTCAAAGCTGAAAATCGGCAGTTGGTTTCCAAGTACACATATTGCCGAGCTTTTGTCCATTTTGAATCGTTCCGGCGTACATGTGGCCCCGTGTGTGTTTTAACTGATTGTTTAATTTTGCTTTTATTTTATTTTTTTGTTGGCTTTTATAATTTAATTATTTCAATGTGTATATAGCATGTCTTATTGTGATTGGTGCAAATAAAATTATTATTCATGAATTAATGCCTTTACTAAGCACTTGCTTAGTTAAGCAACGTTTGTCTATAATTTTGCATGCTCCAGGTGCTCTTGTTTTTTTTATATGTATGGTATATTTGCGTTTACACAACTCTGCCAATGTCACGGAAGTGGTCTTTACACGCAAAGGGACAACAAATTTATATAAATATAGCTCAGTGCCCAATAATAAATAAATAAATAAATACTAGACAACAATACATACATTGCTCTGATTTTAAGGTAAGTAGCTGAAGCGTTTATTTATGGAATAGTTGAAACAATAAAGGTACCATAACACCCAGACCCTAGACACAAGCTCATTTCTATAATTGGTATCGATCCCGGGACCGTTAATAGGCTAACGATGCTGATGTAATAAGTAATATACAATTCTTACCCTATAAAATAGTCCTAGAGCTATAGTCTTCCTGCACAGTGGCGACATAGTCGGAGGGCTGTCAAACGGAATCAATTCGTCGTTCAACTTTCTCAAACCTTCAACAAAATGTTTTACTGAACATAAATAAATTAAATACTACAAGAAGACTCTCAAAAAGGAGAAGTATATGACAACATTAACAACGAATAACCATTTCGAGAGTTTTTTTTTAATAAGTAAATAATCTGGTTATTTTTTGTTTATTAAATAATGAGTTACCGCTTACTACATTTTGACGTCATAGTGTAGTACTTGTATCCCTGTCCGATCCGATTTTTCTCAGTAAATTATTGAAACACTTTATTCTCTTTTGCAAATTTAGCCATTTGAACCAGAAAATAAAATTAAGAATATCCGCTTAAATAGATAACTGATGTCATTCAACAAAAAAAGTTGAAACATGGCACATGCTATTAAATTAGCATCGGTTGCTATTGAGTAATAAATTATATTACTATACAAATAAATAAAATTAGACTTAATTCATTTGTGTCTATACACGGTACATATACCATTTTTTTCATTTTAGAGGGATTTTCACTTACTGATAGCTAATGTGATAAGCGGTACCTAATTATGACTTATTTTCCCAAACCTTTTTGTAGCGTCCTCTCGCTGTATAGATCTTGGCCGATCAATGCGTACTCCGTCTCTGTCGCACGCACGAAGGTCGGTGAGATAGCACCATACACTATGCGAGTTTCTTCAATATTGTTCTCATCGTTTAGTTTGAAATAGAACCCTGCGTTCACTATCGCTAAAGCATTTTGGGCCCTAGGCATTATCTAAAAATTCAAGACTAGGTAAATAAAAAAAATATGAAGGGTAATTTTTTTATCGCGGGTCCAGTTCGGATCTATAGGGTAAGGATGCCGAATATGAGATACCATTTTTATTTTTGGATATAAAACATAAATTATTGCACTAATCATTTTGAAAATTGCAATATTTGATAGGGTATTTAATGAAGTTTATTTATGAGAGACCGTTTAGTTCTGAGTATAATAGATTTTTTATTATATCAAAAAATATTAAGAAGTTCAGAAATTACGTCTCAGGCAAATGGTCTCCTATTATGAGATACTGAGGGTTGCTAATATGAGACAGTATCTCATATTAGGTTCTTTAGGGTTTGAGTATAGATTTGGAGAAAAAGGAAAGAAATTAATTTGAATTAAACTTTTTATTGGCTATATTCTCTAATTAACAACATCATACTCCTAAATAAATAGGTCTGAGTACGACTTAATATGTGTATGTAACGTACATGGTTATAATAACGAAAGCACTACAAAAATACCTCCACCTAGATGGCGACTCTAGCAAAAGTTGATTTTTGCAGGAAACGAATGGAACAAAGACAGTCATTTCCGTTCATTTAACTAACATATTAAAAAACTGAAATTTGAAAAGTTCGAAACTTAGATATCAATACAAATACGAAAAAGTACAAATAGAATATGAGTTGTTAATTGAGTTTTGAAAACTAATTTACTTTTAAACATGAAAGAAAACTGGAAGGGTTGTCATGGAGAAATCAAGAACATACCGTAGCGACATCTAGTTTGATTTCGGGAACTAATGTTTTTTTTCTAATACTTCCTCATTTCCCACAGACGCCCTCTTATAGTTCCCTTGCTCATTGAACAAGGCCTACTGGGTCGGCGAAAAAAGAACAAGAACCTTGAGGATTTTTTTTATTTTCAAGTTGCCTCACTTTCAGCATGAATTGAAAGGAAACTTAACAAGAAAAATATTATATTATGGTAAAACAGAACAACATACCGATTACCAATATGAAGATATGTATTTTATTAGGTAATATGACGTACATTGGCGGGCATTATCGCTCGGTCATTTAAGAAAATTTTCGTTTGAGCATGTTTAAACGTTAAGCTGAAGCTAAAATGCTGCAATACAAACGAATGCATCGGCAGTGGAGCCTCTGTCTGGCAAGTCAGATGGAATAGCTACTCAAGAGATTGTGGATGAAAAATCCCGAAGTAAGGGAGCAAGTTGTGCTATGATTACAGATGCTGCTCAGGATAAATCTGTTATTGATGTACAACAAATACATGTACTAGATGATGTTGATACTGTTGTCCCGAATATAGCGGATCCAGCTACTTGTCCACTTATTTGAAATAGCAAAATAATTGATTATATAATAAGTAGTGGCCCACTGCAAACTCACTGTCACAAAGTTACAACAATTACACAAAGTTATAGATAACAATTATGTGACACCCTGTTAGGGTAAAATTGAATCTGTACTTACCTAATGATGTGATTATATTAAACTTATCATAATCAGTGATTTTCAAATGGCACTTATTAAACAGTATCAAAAACAAAAGTATTATGCTAAATCTTAGATATGATTTATGTCAGACTCATCATAATCACAGAGATTTTCAAATCATATTTATTAAACAATATTAGTAATCAACAAAAGTCAAATCTTTTATTCTAAATCTTAGTATTTAAACACAAACACAAAAATCGATCTGTGGTTACTTCTCCACGATCCATGGTCTCACGATTTCCTTTTGATCGGCCCCATCTAGTAAAAAGGATTTTTCAAATAGTCATATTTTTATATATCCTAATACGAGATATCTCATTTTAGGAGCACTCGCATGTCTCATATTAGGAAAACATCTACATTCAACAAAATGGCTGCACATTATTTCTCAGTAAAGAAAATGTAATAAAACTGCATATGTATCATAAAATTGATGATATAATTGATAGAATGACGGTAAATTAAAATCATTCAGTGTAATTAATACAGCTGTAGTATACCTTGTAAATATTTGATGAGAAAATTTGGTTTTGGGGTTTCGTGAAAACCCACGTGTACACAACCTAACTTCGCCTTGGACTGGGAAGCACTAACACACGTTTTGATCTTTTGCCACGTGGCTTCTAGCGACAGTAGCACCAAATGGCTGCGGCGATTAGTTTCGCCAAAACCTAACTATCTCATATTTGGCGACTATCTCATATTCGGCATCCTTACCCTATATGTTAACGTCTTGCAGCCGAGACCAACGTATCAACGTGCAACTTAACTTGCACGTTGAGTTCGATATAATAAATATTTGGTCGCCTAAGTTTTTGTATTAAAACACTGTTTGGCTAAAAAGATAAATAAAATTATTAAAACTACAATATTAATCAATATTTATATTTAATATGTATTCGTAATTAATGAACTGAAGGTACTTAGACAAAAACCGGTCAATAACCTTCCGGCACAGTAGGGGGCCGTCCATAAATTACGTCACACGAAATTCATGATTTTAACCCCCCACCCCCCTTCTGTCACATGTTTGTCTATACAAATTCTACTAAATATTGTTCTGTCACAGTTCGTCGACCCCCCCCCCCCTCCTCCTACCGTGTGACGTAATTTATGGATGACCCCTAGGTAGTACATAAAGAGTGACGTTGTTTGTAGACATCTTTCTGCGTTATCCTTCATAGTAGAAGGTTAAAAAATATGAGTAACCAACATAATTATAATTTATATGTGCACCTTCTTTTTTTAATATTTTAATAGGGATAATGCCCGGGTAAAAAAGCGATTCGATTTAGGCTTTTGCTTCAATTTCACAAGAGCTTAGATAATAGGCATTTAAGTTACGGAGTGGGGGGCTCACTAAGTAACAACTATGTAGAAAATATACAAAGGCGTGACGTCACAAGACATTTCAACACAACGTATACGTAATTTATTGATAAAAAATAAAAGTCTTTAATATTCTCTATTAATCTACCCGATGGACAAACAAATAAAAATTAGCCATCATCCTTATTAGACAACATCACATACAAAACTTACATCCAAAGTAAAGTAGGTAAATTTGGATGGTATTGTTGTTTTGAATGTATAACGGAAATCATGAAATCTGTAAAAAAAAAAAAAACTTACAAAAACAAAAAAGAGCAAATGGACCTGGGATGCCATGAAATGAAACTGACGTGTGTGAGAGCACAATCTATTATATTAAAGATGGATAACTAGCGTGTTCTTACGTTATTCAATAGATACTCGGATACTGGACATCCTTATACAACTTAACAACAAGGTAGTGAGTTTTTACTGAATATTGCGTTTTATTTTGTTTAGCAACTTTCACGAGGTTCGGTTACAAATTGATATACAATCTAAATCGAATTAAAAAGGTTATTAATTGAAACTGTTAACCTGTATTAGTTAATCCGGTTTTTTTGCGGTAATTCGTTTCAGGTAAGCAACCGAAATATACCGGTTAATAATCGAATAAAATTACCGAAACGATAGATAACAGATTTTACTTATTACTAAGTACATCTACTCGAAACGAGGTGTGAAACATTGAATATCTATTGAACGTGCAAATTAATCGGTAACCCGAGGTGGGTTATTTACATTTACGTTTCGGTTAATGACCGTAAGCGACAGAACCCTGGAAGGGTGACCAAAAATTTTTTTTCATGTGGCACGATAAGCCGTTGGTCATGGCCGCATTTGTATTTGTTTATATCGTACAATCCGCATTGGGCCAGGGGCCCATCACGACCCATTCTCCTCAACCATCCATAAGGAAGGTCTGAGCCCCTGCAGTGGGGAGGTAAAAGGGCTGCTGTTATTGATTTTAAGAATGTCGCGACCAAACTCACCTTGTATGTGCGGATCACGCATCGGGACGACATGGGCGGTAGTTTCACATTTGTTATCAGTTTACATTTCAGATCAGTCCTCAGGAAGTCTTGCATACTCAAAGTGGTTTCATGTAAATCATCACCCACTGAAAATTAATATAAATCATATCAGCTCAGTAACCTTCGGGTACCGGATTACACTTGGCTCGATTCTCAAAATCATACGAGCCCAAACCGGATTGGTTTGCTACGATTAATTTGTGGTTGCTTGGTATTCATGGCACCATTCAGGCCATCACTTTAATATCCAACCACCATATTATAACCATATGCATAAAAAACTTTATCTCAATTGAAAACGGAGAAGTGGACCGAATCATACTGGCAAGATTTGAATACATCAAATGAAATTAAAAAAAATATTTATAAACTCACCTATTGTGACCATAGCTTGAACAAGTTCTAGCATCAGAAAAATATCAGAAGGGAATTGATTGTTTTTATTTTTCATAGCTAGATTGCCTCCAATCGTGCCAATCTGTAATAATCAGAGGTCTGAATTAGGTAGAGTTATTTATGTACTTGCATCGAAATGTTGATATTAATGTGGACCTTCCCGGGATTTCTTTATTTCTACTTTCTTTATTTCTTTCTTACATTGATGTAAGTTTGGCAACGTCGTGCGTGCAGTAGTTTAAATTGTGTAAAAGTAAATAACTTTTTATTTAAAAAATCATGGGTTTTTTCTACTCTTTAAAATTAATCTCGGGATTTGAGGCATATCCACTTTATTCTTTCGCTGTATGAAATCAATGTAAGTACATGAATAACTCTACCTAATTCCGACCACTGGTAATAATACAATATTTCAAAAAGTAACGAGTGCTTGAAAGATTCGTTAGTCCTGTTTCTTGAAAGTTTCGTTGGTCCTGGGTAGCTCAGTAGTTAAGAGCAGGTCGCCCGCATTGCGAAAGGTCGTGTATTTGAGTCCCATCTCAGAGTGCCAGGGACAAAGTGAATATTTAAGCATTTTTTTAATTGATTAAATATAATATATACTAATATTACCAAAAAGAAAACTCTGTTGGTATGTTTGCGTTAAATGGACTAATAACCTACTGGACCGATTTTAAGTATTTTTACAATAAATAAAAATAAAAAACAAGAAAAAAAAGTCGCGGCCATACCGCTGGTATTAAATTTTTTTATTACAAATAAAGCAATGAAATACGCTTGAAAAATTCGATACACGATTTCATTATCTTTATTATTTTGAAATGCCAATAAATGATTTGGATTACAACAAAGTACGTACACAATGAAATTATTGGAAACACTTACGTTTCTAACTGGGACATGCGCAACCAAGTCCAAATGTTCATGGAATCCCATCAAGTAGTTGAACTCGTCCTGTTTCCCGACATCCTCGCAGATTTTCATGAAGTCCGTGAGAGACGTGCCCGCACCCACAACTAAGTTGACGTCCACCAAGAAATCCTTTAGAGTTTCTATGGACGATATATCTATGAACACTCGAGGGGGCGGAGACCAATATTTGTTAAAAACAGCTGTGGAAATATAAGTCTAAATATACTGTCTGAAGATTCATTTTTCTATACGCATCATCATCTTCATTAGCCTTTTAATGTCCCCAACAATCTTCTTTAAATTCTAATCTTTATTTTATCTTTCCATGGGCCATTTATTTTGCACCACCTTGTATATATGAATTGATCGATTAAATTACCTATTCCAGTGTTTCCGTGTACCAGTCTGTAGTCATCCACGTCTACTTTACGTAACACCTAGAAAAAAAAAAGAATGGATAATTATTAATTAATTTTTATATTAGCTCGGTGGCGATGGCGTAGTGGATAAGCGCCGCGGCCCGCGATCGTTGTCGTTAAGCAACTTTCGCAAGGGTCGGTCAACCAAAAATTATTATCTCGAGCTACTCTGTGCTTCGGAAGGCACGTTAAGCCGTTGGTCCCGGCTGCATTTGCAGTCGTTAATACCCTCCAATCCGCATTGGGCCAGCGTGGAGGGTCATGGCCCATCCTCCTTAACCATCCATAAGGAAGGCCTGGGCCCCTGCAGTGGAGACGTAAAGGGCTGGTGATGATGATGATTTTCACGCGCACTATTCATAAATGAAACAACTTTTAAACGGTTTCATCGCGTTTGTATATAGTTCTATTGACGTTTCGGACCCTTTACAGGTTCCGTGTTTACATAAGACTAAGGTGTTGATTGTATTTTTAATTAAGAGTATAGCTATCTTCAAAACAATACTATTAGATATATTCACAATACATTTTATTTTATGTTTATTGTATTTATTTAAATTAAATTATTTTAAAAATACATTTGACTTATTTATTTACCCCTGGTTACTGTATTCTACCACCAGTTCCAACTGTGGCAGTCTTGTCTGAGTAAAACTGGCGCAACAAACTCCGACAAAAAAGTGAATTGCTCCCTTTGATTTAATATTTACAGAAGGAACTATTAAGATTTATTATTAACATTTATATTTGAGATATTACCCCACAGTTGGTGAATTAAAACACATATAATATGTCTCACAAATGTACCTTGTGCAGAAGACTATTATGTTATAAATTACAATTCTAAATTCATCAATTAAAAAAGAAATCAAAAGTAAATCAGCAAGTTGCACAAACGTCCTTTAAATTATTATTATATCATTTGACATTCCTTAGAGCTTAAAGGCGTCATTAAACCTTAATGGACGTTTGTGCATCTTAGACATATGATATCGAAGTAATTGGTTACTTCTTTTTATAATTACATAATCGTTCTGTTGAATGAACAATTTATTTGTCAATAAAATATTTTTAAAAGTACCTTGAAGACATCTGGTATTGTAAACGCTTTGTACCATTGGCTCTTCGACCCGCCAACTTCCATCAGTAACTGTTCTTGTTTGTTTTGTATCACGCACCAATCTTCGTCAACTACACTACATCGCTTTTCGCATTTCTTCAAGCATTGTGATTTATATAGATCTTCTACATCCTACAAACCAAAGTTAAAATTATAGGTCCTAACCTTATAAGCAATTTATAAGCGTTGTATAGTTTTACAGTGTTATAACTTTTCATTCGAACTTAAAGTCAAAATTGAAATGATGTGAACACACCTATGGGTAATTAAACAACCATTATAAGTTTCTTATTAGTAAGAGTATTCATATTTAAGCCTTTTAATCCATATACATATTTCTGTCTGAAAAGTTTTATAAATTTCATAGACTAATGGGTTCAAATTTTAATCTTTTAGGAGGATAATGAACCTGTTTTGTCAATATACCTACAGTTTTTTTACTACTATGAACATGAAAATGATTGCCTTTATTTTTTCCAACAACCTTACTTAACATGCTTTTGTTAAATCTACATATATTTATAATTCTATTATTGGAACCCGGCTATTATTCTATTATTGGAAGGGTACAGGCCTCCTCCAGCTTATTCCATATTTCTCTATTCTTTGCTTTTCTTCTCCAATCTTTTCAAAAATGATACAAAATATTAATATTTAAATACGAAATATCAAACAATAAAAATTAAGCAGTGATTGCAAATTACCCTGTATAATATTTTACCTGTATTTTGGTCTGCAGCGCCGGATCGCAGTCGTTGGCGAAACTCTTGAAGGCATCTAATATAGGCCTGTATCCAGTGCACCGGCAGAGATTACCGCCAAACGATTTCTCCACTTGTTCAACAAATAACTTTTTATCTAGGCCCTGATATAGACTGGAAAATCGAAATAAATGAAATATATATATTTAAATCGGTCCAGTTTTTTTTATTACATTAGAATTTTTAAATCGGTCCAGTAGCTTAGGAGTCTATTCGTGCAAACAAACAAACAATTAAATCTCTTATCTTTATAATATTAGTATAGATATAGATACGGTCATATGATACTTGGTGACTATTGTTTATGTACTAAATTTCAATTCAGACGGTCCAGTCATTTCGGAGAAAATCGACTGGTACATCGGCGGTATCACCTTCATGAGGATAAGGCAAGCCAAAGGTGATACTGTCCCTCTATGAATACCGTTGCCGAGCGCAGACTGTCCCCATTTTTCTTGGATCCATCATGATGTACAGACGTTTCAGTGACCGTTAGAAATAAGATGAGAATGAGTTTAATGTTGAAACGGCAAGATTGGTATATTTTAGTTATTTTCATAGTGTAATGACGTATGGTATATTGTTGTTGGGTTCTGCGGCTAGCATTCAGGATATTTTTATTCTACAAAAGAGAGCTGTCCGTTCTATATAAAATTTACGGCCTAGGGAATCTCTCAGAGAAATATTTAAAGAAATAAATATTCTGACTGTTACCTCTCAATACATCTATGAGAATATTATGTACACAAGAAAACATTACTATTCCTTCACAAAAATAGGAGTGTTCATAATCTTAACAAAAGAATTAAAAATAAACTTGCCGTTCCAAGCTTCAGACTTCAAAAAACCAGAGGGTCATTTCTGGGTAAATGTATTGCTATGTTCAATAAAGTTCCACAAAATGTAATTGACCTACCCATAAATAAATTTCAAATTCATGTAAAGAATATACTTATGAGTAAAGGCTATTATAAAGTTGATGATTATTTTAAGGATCGCAATGCACGATTAATGATAGGTATGTACCAACCTACGTCCTACAGACTTTGAAACTTGTATTTATTATTGTTCAATATATGTATTATTTTGGTAATGACATGATTTATGTAAATGTCATTACTTATGATAAAAGCTGGTAAGTTATTTTTGCTTGTTCTTCTTGTCAGCTAAAAGACGTCCCGAACAAGTAGTAGAGGGAAAAAATATTTTTGGACGATTCATAAGTACTTGTAACAAGCTTACTTGAATAAAAGCATTTTCATTTCATTTCAGACTGCCTCTCTGTCTGTTGTTTAATTATGTTAGTGGTTATTACGTATTTGAAATGAAAGAAATTGATTTTAACTCTATTCAAAATTATAGTACCTGGGTGACAAGGTATTTTTTTTTTTGGTAAATGATGTTTTTCGTAAATTTTATATGAATAATATTTTTCGATCTTACTGACATAATAAAAAAAAAGAACTAATTATTTTCAAAAAGCAAAGCTCAGTTATCCATATACTTTATATTATTAAACAAAAATCGCAAAATCGAAAACACTGATTGGGTAAAATCATTATTATATTATAGTTAGAAATGATTCAGTGATAATTCAAAGTAGATGATTATTATAAAACTACTCTGATGTCACATAGTTAAAATACCTACATACGGACAGACGTACAGACCATTCCATTTCGTTTTTGGGGAAAATTTATTATAACTTTCAAATAAAATAAAAAACAACAAACGTGTAACATGATAAGTACCTGTACATGTTCATGACCCATCCAGGAGTACAGTACCCGCACTGGGTGCCGTTGAACGCGGCCAGCCTGCTCTGTATAGCGTGGTAGCCATCCTTGCGGTTACCCACGCCCTCCACTGTGGTTATATCCCATTGGTGACACGACAACACGTGGACTAAACACTGCCATTCATAATTTAGATGTAGTACAATCAGTCAAGCTAGCTATGCTACTTGATTTCAATAATGTAAAATATATTCTAATTAATTTTATATTTTTTTTTATATATAAAATATAATTTGTAGGATGGTTTAACTGACTTCCATATAAATTAAATTTAATCCTTGTTAGATTTAGTACTGTGTTTGCGTTCGCTCTTGGTTGCAGCTGAAAATCAGCCATTATTTTGTTCGCATTACATGCGCGTGAATACTTGACGCTGAGCTGGGACCTTTGTGTACTGCTGCGACTCATTTACATATATCATTATTTATTTTTCTATTGAATGAAATGTAACACGAAATGTAAAGTGTGTGTGTGTGTATTTTGACAAGAAATAAATCATTTGTCTATCTATCTATGCTAATTTATTTTAAAAACAGCTTCAAATTTAAAGCCGAGCGAAGCGCTGTGAGCTTTAATAAAACCTTTATTACCTTTTGAAGAAGGGTTTTTTTAATTGTATCTTTATGCTATGACATCGAATTCGAGGGTATTTCTATAATACAATGGCACTTTAGATCGAAGTGCGCAAGCGCAAGTCCGACTTATAAGGATTACGACTGGGTAAAAAAAAAAAACTATTTAATCCGTCAGTCAGCTAATAGAAAAATATTAGATACGCATCTTTTACTTCAATTTAACAAGAAATAGCTTAGCTAACAGGCATTATAGTTGAGGAGTGTGGGCTCGCTACGTCACAGTATTGTAGAAAATGTAGGTACAAAAGCGTGACGTCATGTGATATTTTAACTGGATGTATCTCCTTAATTTAATGATTAAGTACGAAAAAAAACGTGTTTAATATTTTACAACAATCTACCCGACGATGAAACAAAAAAAAAATCATTATCCCTATACTTGCTCGTATTTTTATCTTTTGATGACATAAATGTGTCACGTGGCATGCCACGTGATTACCGATTATCTTCTGTGTTCCGTTGGTGACAAAACAGCACGTGGAGTTAACACAATCATTAATTTAAATTAAGTTTTAAATTTTAATTTAGTATTATTCCAGTCAGTACAGGGGGCCAATTCTACTAAATAAATTTTGTTTAAATCGAATCGAAAACGATCGAAACTACTGTTCTATTTTAGCTGGAATTGTATCGTATGTCACTTAGTAGAATACAAAAACCATTAAAAACTGTAGTTTCGTTCAGTTTCGATCCGTTTTCGATTCGATTTAAACAAAATTTATTTAGTAGAATTGGCCCCCAGTTCAAGGTAAGACCGACACACTTGGCTGGTTTTTGTAATTAGAATATCTTTTGATGATCAAAAGATATTAAAATGTCGCATGTTGCCGATTTATCCTCTATATCACATCGGGCATACGACAATACTGTCTTTAATAATTAAGCTATAGTTCAGTCATTTAAGCACATGGGATTGAGTTCGGTTTGAGTGATAACCGGAATAAGCCTATTACAAGGTGCCGCCGTGTCACCTGGTTTATTCCCGATCGGACTTACGAGTTACACGCGTAATTTGAGTACATTTACAATTTGCACAAGTTTTTGTATGGAACCTATAGCAAAAATATGGAACGAAAAGAATAGTAAATATGCGGCAACAGGCAAAACAGTCAAGGGGTGCCATTTCATAACAATGCAAAGGGCGAATTCCGCATAAGCATGGACTTTTACCCAATCTGTGCCGTGTACTAGTAACTTTGTATCATCTACATATGTAGATTAAGGTACTAAACAGGCTTAACCAGAATATCAGCGTTGATGAGGCACTTTCCGTGTCGCATCAACACCAGCTGAGGCAGTCTTGGTTGATCTCACTTTCTTTCTCTTTTATATGTCATTATATACCTTATTGTTTCTTTTGTATCTTTATTGTGCTGTATGTGTTCCTAATAATGTACTATCTTTTGTAAAATCAATTAAATGTTTTTATTTCTTCTTCTAAATTTCTACAGTATGATAAGGTGAGTTTGCAAGGCTCATTAATATTGAAAAGGGTAGACCCTAAGATACTTCCCTGGGGAACAATACATGGCTGACGGTGTTCTCTATTTTTTTTACAGTTACTTAGATCATTTCTAAAAATATTGTCAAACACTACCGATTCTGATAAAATATGAATGGTCACGTCTCAGTGGTATACGTCACACTGATAACGCACATTGGTTAAAAACTTTTGTTTTGCGACACTGTGGTATCCGGGATAAGAAAACTTTTTGGGTGCTTACCGAACGCTACCGAGTTGAATTCGACGATTGACCTTCCCAGGTGTACATAATAGTCAACAACTTCTAGTGACGAATTCCTAAGTCTTAGTAAACTTACGTATAGTTTAAACCAAGTACCTACTACTGAAGTTACTTCTAAGGCTAACGACCTAATTTAAGATGAAACGTCAATTTTAAAAGTGTCTGCTTATTTTGGTCGGACAATGGTTCAAACAAATCAAATCAAATCAAAACAAAATATTTATTGCGTGTCACATTACAAACAATGAGATATAATTAAGTTTTAGGTATACATGTGACAAGGGCATTGCAATATGTAGAGGAGAATATAATATTAACAATAATTTAAAATTAATAACATCTCATAATCATATAATATTAACAATAGTTATTCATTGCATTCAAATTTAAATTAAATTCTATTAGATAAAATTATGTCAAAATAAATATTCTTAACTAGTGGCCGCCAGCGACTTCGTCCGCGTTTTCTATTATTTCTTCGCTCCTAATAGTTGCAGCGTGATGTTATATAGCCTTAAGCCTTCCAACATAAATGGTATATTCAACACAAAAATAATTTTTCAATTCGAACCAGTAGTTTGTGAGATTAGCGCGTTCAAACAAACAAACAAACACTTCAGCTTTATAATATTAGTATAGATATATCGGGTCCAGGATAATAAAATAGTAACAAAATGAAATTATTAACTTGACATTAACAAACCCTAGGTTCCTGTTTTTTATAAAACATGTCTTTGTCATGTGTTCGTCTTTGTAGCTACCTGAAGACTAATGTCATTAAACCAATGTGTTTCTCAAAAATCAATTTCGACTAATCTATTTCTATACCGATTTCTATGATTTTTTTTTATGGAATACTTAATACTGTTAACTTTTTTAATTAGGGATGACTGAGAGTGTTATAAACGTAAGAGTAGACAATAGACAAATACAATCAGAAAGCTTCGAACTGCTAAGCTATCGTGAGTTATACGTGTTATTGTGAGTAAACCATAAAAGATAGACATATGCTGATTCTGGGTAGCTTCAACCATTAAGGTTGCACACGCGACGGAAGCTTAAAAAATGGAGTTATTTTTCCCGTTTTCCCAACATTTCCCTTCACTGCTCTGCTCCTACTGATTGTAGCGTGATGAAAAGTACCTATACTATAACCAGCTCAGGAGTATGAAAAATAATTGTACCAAGTTTCGTTAAAATCCGTCGAGTAGTTTTTGTTTCTATAACGGTTATACAGACAGACAAAAATTTTACTGATTGCATTTTTGGCATCAGTATCTATCCCTAATCACCCCTTGATAGTAATTTTGGAAATATATTTCATGTACAGAATTGACCTCTTTACAGATTTATTATAAGTATAGATAAAAGGTGACTAAAAATTATATAAAAACAATAAGTAAAAATAAATTAAATTAAAATTTGCTTGTCACATTTGTCTTCAAAAAATTATTTTATATTATAGTAACATTTATTAATAAGAAATGATTTTAGTTTTGTATTATATTGTGTAGGATTTTCTAAATTTCTTATGCGATTTGGTATATGGTTATATATTTTAATAGAATTTCGGATGCTTTCTGACAAATTTACACGCTTCAAGAATGTAGATAGATATTAGAGTTAGTATGTGATGTTTAATAAAGTATGGTCTGCACGAGTCCATTTGGTCTATGTTGGTAATAATTCTTATGCATTTCTTTTGTAGTACAAAGACCCTATCTACATCACAGGAGTTTCCCCATACGATAATACCATAGGAAAGTATCGAATGTGCGTACGCATAATATGCTGCTAAAGCTGTACGTATGTTCGTAATTCGTTTAAGATATTTGAGAGCATATATAAAAGAAGATAACTTATGTGATATTTTACCTATGTGTTGCTTCCAGTTTAAATGTGTAATAATAATAATCATTTATTTGCCTTTAAATAAATTGTACCCAATTTGATAGTAATTAATTAAAATAAAATTAGAACTTAAAACCTATTTAGCCATATAGAAATAGCATGCAGATATTAAGTTTAATAAATTTTTTCATTGTGTCTAGTTCGAGTCCCAACAGGGTAGCGGAATTTACAGTTTCTAATTTTGTATTATTAAAGTTATATGTTAAATGTAAAACGGTTTTTTGGTAAGGTTTAAATTGAATAATTTTAGTTTTGTTAAGGTTGAGCAGCAAATTGTGGTTTTCTAACCAGTTTGTGATTTTATACGATATTGAATCTAATATATTTTCACATTCTGAGGCATCTGAACAAGGGATTAAAACTGAAATATCGTCGGCAAAGAGCACACATGTATCATCGTTGAAAACATTTGGCAAGTTGTTAATATATGTAAGAAAGAGAATACATCCCAGGACACTACCCTGTGTACACATGGATACTGTCAGACGTAGATTTTAAAATTTTTCGAGTTTGGAAGTCGGTATTTTCAATTTCCACATATTGTAAGCAGCCATCGAGATATGATTTAAACCCCCTATGAGCTATCCCTCTAATTCCTGTTTGATAAAGCTTATCCAGTAGAATTGTGTAACAAACTCTTTCATAGGCTTTACTCATATCGAGCAAGAGCCCTACTGCATACCTTTTATTATTGATTTGCTTGATTATGTTTTTAATGAATTTGTAAATTGCCAATATAGTAGAGTGGTTTTCCTAAATCCATTTTGATTTTCGTGTAAAATGTTGAATTTTTCATAAAAACTGTAAAGGACTGTCACTGTCTGTCATAGCGGATTCGAAAATTTTAGCAGATGTAGGTAAAAATTGTTTATATCGGTAGTTACTCCTTTTTTATGAATAGGTTTAATAATAGATATTTTTAAAGCGTCCGGAAAAATCCCTTCAGAGAAGGATTGATTTACCAATGCAGTATATGGTGCAGTTAGTGAGTCAGCACAGTTTCTTATCAAGATGGGAGGAATTTCATCAATGCCGAAGGATGTCTTACATTTCAGGTTTTTTATCATGTTCTTAATTTCTTTTTGTTCTACAGGTCTTAGATAAAATGAATTTTCAATTTGATTTTTAAAGGTGTTCCAATGTTATCTTTGGAACTTGTGCATTAATTGCCAATAGATGCAAAAGTATTTGCTATCGTCCTAAGGTCGGATATTAAATGTTTGTCTAGAGTTTTCAGCTGATAGTTTTTATTTACCCTTGTATGTAATTTGCCACATAGATTTAGTTTTATTACAAACCAGGTACTGGTCATCGTTTTGTAATGGTAACTGGTCAGATATTGTTGTCGTCGAAACAATACGCAGTCCGTTGTGTTTAAGTCTGGGACAGTGGCGTAACGTAGGCATAGTGACGTTTTAGGCCCGTGGCAAATTCTAATACTAATTTTTTTTTTGCTTATTGCGTCATAATAAATGTCAGGAGTAAGGAGTCTCCTCTGACCGGGGGGCCCCTTCCAGCTTGGGGCCCGTGGCACTTTGCAGGCTAGCCACCCTGTAGTTACACCACTAGTCTGTGATTAGTGTATATAGACTGTGAAATAGTTATATTACTGTTACAAGATTGAATTTTTAATTTCTTACCGAGTTAACAGCAATATTGTGTTTCTCCTTCGTGCCAGGATGGGTCTTAGTAACGGACACAACGCAGGCACCGCAGCCTCCTTCTCGGCACATTACTTTAGTGCCAAACAGTTGTAGGTAGTTACGTAGGTAGTCATTTAGTGTAGTCAAAGGACTGACTTCAGAACCCGCTAAAACATTAACATATATTCTCAAGACCTATTTATAATTGGCTTCATTAAAGAAGGTTATCAAGTAGATTCGTATGTATAGGATATTGTTGGAATTGCACAAAATTGTGTATACCATCAAATTTTCACTGACAGTGTTGATAATTTGTGCTTTATTTAGTCTGTATGTCAGAAGATGTGACCAACTAAACAAGAGTATCAATTTTAATAGTATATGAATATCTATTTATGTTATTTTTGAAATATTTACATATACTTTATATATTTATGAATTTAGGTCAGTATGTTTGTCCATAAATTTCTAGGAAATTAAGCATAGTATAGCAATGATGCCTACTTTATTTAATTAATTAACTTTTAATCCAGATTATGGCACCAGTTTGATGATTTTTAAAAAGATTAATTATATTTTCATTGTACATCTAAAATAATTAAGTAAATATACTTCAAAGAAGGTGCAGTTTATAAATTTTTTTAAGGCAGTTATTAAAAAAATATAAGCTTATTTGAAAAATAATAAAACCATATTATACATAACTGCCTAAACAAGAGTGTATTGTGTTTAGGGTGAATGTATGTATGTGAATTTCTTTATTCCACCATTACTTTTGATAGACTAATGTGCAATATGCATGTATACAGTATCGTTAGAAAAGTTACATAATCTCTAGTGATACTGTCTATATATTTATAAAAAATATTTATAAGGAATTTATGGAAAAGAAATATTTTCAACTTTAATAATATGAAAATAATTTTTCTTTCATTATTACAAATTAAAGTTTTCAATGAGTACTGCTCACCAAAAGAAGTAAAATACATAAATAATTTGAAAATTAAAAATATAATTTCCAAACTCAAACTAAAAATTAAGGAAACAAGTTATGTTATGGCTTTGCTTATCAAATTTTTCACTGCAGTCCGGGGCCCTCTCAGATTATATATTTGTTGTTTTAAAATTATTTTTTATAATTTGACAAATATTTAAAAACCAACATAAATAAGAAGAATAACTTACATAGGGTATAATGTTCTCCGTTTACAGTAAAACTTATTCTATCCATCTTGGGAGTTTATAAAATTAATCTCTAGAATGTAGTAATAAATACCTGCAGGAAAATTAAAGGAAAATTAAAAGAAAACTAATTTCTTAAGTTACAATATATTTTGTACACACTATTGTATAATTTTATTATTCTGAAGCAACAAACCTTTGTTGCTTCAGAATAATACTGGTACCTACCAGAACACCCAGAACTGGGACAATATAGAAGTCTATTTTCTATATTGACCTGACTGGGAACCAAACCTGAGACTTCAAAGAGGGTGACACCTTGAAATTAGTGCGTGAACCACTCGGCTACAGAGTTTGTCAAATATGCAAAACACAGTCAAATTTTGAATGAGTTGAGTGAGTGTATTTCATTTTGTTGAAGAGTCTATATAGTGCCCTCCAAAGCAAATAATATTAGAAAAAAATGGGTAAGATAATGGGATTTTTTTTATAAATTTACAGAAGAAACAAATCCCATATTTTTTGCTTGTATCTTGAAAGTTTTTATATATTTTAGGATCCTAGATTAGCAATCTTATTGTTCTAATTTCAATTTTTATTAATATTATACTAATAAGAATTATAAACATACTGTTTCAGTTTTATAGACTTTAATATCTAAGAAACTTCGAACAACAATTTAAGGAATTATTTTTGTCATTAGGTCAAAACTTTCATTTTAGACATACAGATGAAAACTTGTTTTCGACTGTAGTTTGAGTATGAATAACCTTCAATAGAATTAATACGACTTAGTTTTTACGTTACCTACTCGGTTCACGATAGTTTAAACTTATCACAGTGTATTCTGATGCACTTTGTTTATAGTCAAACATATCACAAGACTTCTAAACTTTAATATTATAAGACTTACTGCGTGTGTTAGCGCTGTAACGCTGCAACATTTAATTACCTTTAATAACAGCGTTTCGGTAGATATACTGATGTATGGAGATTACTAACAGTCTTAAGTTTAAGAAAAAAGAATTAAGTGATCTTAAGTTTATAAGACAAAAAATAACTAGCAACCAATAAAACCAAAAACTTTTAGCGATCATTGAACTTATATTTAGCGCTGAAATAAAAATAAAAATAATTGACACTGTTTTTTATAATGAAGACAGAGGGATCTAACTCGTACTGCCTGTCTTAAACTATAGCATACAGTTTTTAACTGTTTACTATAAATTGGTTCGACATTAAAAGGTTATTCATTCATCTTATTTTTAAAAAAATGCACAATAATAATTACATTTAATTTTATTTTCTCGACTAAGAATAATATTTTATAAAACTTTTATTTTGATATTAATTTGACTTGACCGTTATTCGAAGCTTATAGTTATATGAGATAGGTGTCACCTGTTCCCGCCACTATTGCTGTCTCTTTTTATCTTATATTTGCATCTCTTTCATACCCCTACCCTACCACCTAGGCAGTACAGTGGGGCAGCCGTTGGTTGCCGCCATTTTATTCTTCATTGGCGTCTTGTTTCCCGCCGTGAACGCTCGTGATCACGAACGACTACAGATTATAATTTAAAATAAAACAATTCAGAATATTTTTTTCATTGAATTTAACAGTGCAAATTAGGTTTGCTGGAAGTTTCGAATTAACAAAATTACAATGCCGGTCAGCGACGACCAGAACTGTGTGCCTCCGGGGCCGGCCGTGCCGCCACCAGCACCTTCAACGCGGCAACGTCCCCATACCTCGGAAACCAGTTCCAGTACCAGCAGTAGTGACTCTTCGAGTTCTTCTTCGGATTCTGGTTCTCACAAGCGGAGGCGTCGGCAACGCGACAAAAAAAGGGGGAGAAAACGTGGTCGTCGCTCAAACCGTAAGTTAGATGAACTTTATAAGGAGGTGAAACTTTTACGTGAACAAATAGCTACAAATAATAATGATTGTTTTTCCGATGTGAGTAGAGACCTGTATGACGATAACGATCTACCCTCATCATATTCTTTACCAGTGGCTCCCGCCCACGTATCAAATGAGCAATTTGATTTTAATATTCAAATTCAAACTAAATTGAAAGAACCAGCCATTCCAACGACTTCCGATTCGGATTTGAAACTGTTACACGATCTTCAGCTGTTTAATAATAAAAATTGGTCCGAATTGCGATATTACGATACTCAGAAATTGTATCAACATAGTCCTGGTTTTGTAGATTTAGAAGCGAATGAAGAAATTAAAATGTTCGATTCTCTAAAACATTTAACACATGCTGATAAATCATATGCTGCCTTGACCTTATGTATACTAAAGCAACGAGAGGCGTTGCAATCCACCTTAAGAGATTTATTAAACTGGGCCAAAGACTCTGAATCTGTCAACTATGAATTACTTAAAGAAAAAATTTCAATTCTATTTTCTGACGGTGACTTTCAAAAAAGGTCATCTGACTTACTACAACTGGCTTGTGGTCACCGAGCCGAGGTAATACAAAGTCGTAGAGACTGTATAATAAATCATGTCAAAGACCCTCTTATGAAATCCGTTTTTAAAAAGATACCACCTTCTTGTAAGAATCTATTTGATGCAGAGGCTTTCACAACTGCCTTAGAGAAAGCTGGAGGTGTCAGAAAGTGTTTTTGGCCTATCAAAAAGAAAAAAGCAACTAATTCTGCTTCGCAAGCAGGATCGACAGGAGCTTCAAATGTGCCCTCGCAGGGTACATCCTATACTGTGGCACCCTCACAGGGTACTGCTTATAATAGTAATGCTCCATACATGCATGTGACCGCATCACATGCGCATCATGTTAGACATCCGCCCCCGCAGGGCGGCTGCAATTATAATTGCTCCTCGCAGGAGAATCAGCACATAAACCCGTCTTATCAACGAGGATCCTTACAAGGGCATCCTCCCAGACAAGGTAAAAGGTCTAACGATCAGTACACAAATAACCGAAAACGAGGCATGTTATCCTCTAACAGCAGAGGTAGTAAGAAGCGAAGATTTTGACGCGAACTCCTTCAGAGCGGGCCGTCTAGCTCGTTACTACAAACAATGGGAAAAGATGGGAGCTCCAGATTACCTACTAAAAATTATTCAGGGGTATCGCATACCCTTTCGTTTAAAACCACCTCTTGTTTACCCCAGCATTCGCGGAAAAGCATTCCACACTCCTCAGTCCGAAGAGATGTCAACAGTGATAAACAATTTGAAAAGACAAGGTGTTCTGAAGGTAGCCCATCTTTCCCCATGCTTTCTCTCGACAATGTTTCTCGTGTCGAAGAGCGACGGTACTTCTCGTCCCATTTTCAATCTAAAATCGCTGAACGAGTTTGTTATGACGGAAAGATTCAATCTTATAAACTTATTCCGAGTACCAGAATTTCTTCAGCCCAACGACTATCTATGCAAAATAGATCTATCTCAAGCTTATTTTCATTTGAAAATAAGCCAGAGTCACAGAAGATTTTTACGTCTAATTTACATGAACGAAGTGCTAGAAATGACATGCCTCCCTTTTGGTTTGAGTACCGCTCCAAAAACTTTTGCTGCCCTAACGAATTGGGTCGCACAGACC